GTTGACAAGAGCCTTGGCTGATCGGTACCAAACTCTTTGGGAGACCAATGGCGATGAGACTCAAGCTCTCAAGTAAGCACTATGATATATATCCACCGACAAGCGACAATACTTGAGATCGTCTCATTTCTCTAAACAGACAATAAGGCATCCGGTAGCCATGCGATTTCATACGGAGCGCACCGCAATCGACCCGTGGGGAATATATCCCGCAACAGCACCTTGGCATCACTCTTGCTTAGGATTTGCGTACCCCTTACACTGCTGTTCAGCTCCTCTATAACCCAAATCTCTTCCCGATGACCCTGTATGCTTTTCAGGATCATTACCGCAGCAGGGATCGCTCTCAGCATTGTATTGTCCGAGAAGTATCTTAACAGCCCCTAATAATGATCCACCGACACAGACACAAGCGTTGAACTGGTGGTGTTGCTCAGTAGGAGTGCAGCAGCACGTTGCATGGACTGCGACAAAGAGCACAATGGATTTGTTTGCAAGTCATGAGCAGGAAATGGCACGATGTTATTGATGTTGTCGTAACAGCCCAAGCCAAAAGTGGACGTCCTCTATATACCGTCTGAATCGTCGGTGACATCACGGACAGCGAAGACCAAGGCACCTAATCTACGGTATCCGATGAGACATTTGTTACTTCGGAGTACCAACTGTTGTGATATGTATATAGGGAGCCCCACGCAGTCATATCATCGATGACCTCCTGAGTCTCAGGATATTGTGTCTATTGAGTTCTTGTTTCAGCTCTATCCTATCGCCCAGAAAGTAGGATAGGCTTCAGTGTCGTCAATAGCAGACGCAAGATCGGTTGCTTCCATGGTGGTATAGACCCCCCTTCATTGGGTCACCCTCATCCGCGACAACAAGACCCCAAGCGAGTGCAATCGCAGCAGTGCCAGAACAACCCGGCACAGCTGCGTAGTAAAAGTGTTTGCCAAACAGGTTCAACAAGTCACGGAAACTTTACAGCAAGCCGAGTCTCCCTCATTTGTCCATGGCTCTATGCTCTGTGCAGGACAATACGTTGGGTTTCAATGGTTAGCTTTCCAGTTGAGGAAGGAGATACAATGCCTCGAATGAGATGCCTTTATTGATGATAATAATGCATTTCAATCAAGCAGGCCAGTTACTCTCTGACTGGGGTCATCCGTGAGAAGAAAAAATGTTCCCCAACCAGAAGCAGTGCCTGAACACACCGGCAGCCACAATAATATGAAGTGGTCAGTCGTGTCTTACTCGGCCTTGAGAACAGACTGAAGAGCCAATCGACACGTATCACTTGGACCATACACAGTTCCAATACCCAGCTCAAAATCAGCAGGAGACGCTGTTGCCTGTTTGCAGCTCTCTTCAATAAATTCTTCGAGGATACGATTACCTCGAGCCAGTCAATAGGGGAGACGATGGCTGCGTCGTTGTGAATCAGAAATATAATATATAGCTCGTGTCGTTGGTGCTGATAAATCGCACATCCCATGCTCACAAGGAAGGTGACTGAGGACAGTAGCATCATCGAATGCGAGCATCCACACATTATGTACCCAAATTGGGAAGTTGAGATTGTTTTAGTCAGGACTGGCGTGTGAGCACAGTTCTCTCGCTGAGCGTAGCGTTGAGCGTTGATGTCCTGCCAGCCCGTTATATCAAGTATATGTTTCAAGGCGTTGGTAGAGGTCGGGAAATCATGGTCATCATGCTCGGTAACTAGAGATCTCATGATTTTTCCCTGTACAGCGTAGTCGTCGTACATATGACCGCTCCTTTCAGGAGTAGTACCTTGTCTTATGTGTGAGACGAAAATATTTCGTCTGCCATTGCCAGCTCCACAGGCTGTCTTGTGAGAACAACACTTCTCTGGAGCTGGATGGTGACCTTGATGTACTCATTTATCACCACTGCAATATATTTGGAGTTACCAAAAGCATCGAGGTTTGTCGCCTCCACCCTCCCTTCCGCCCCCCTTGGCCTTTCTGGGGTGGACAAGGGAGAAAGGACGAGGTTGAAGGCCATGCTCGAGCCCCTTTATATAGGTATGCCAGTGGGTCCATAACTATCAATTTACATGGGAGATCTCCTATGCTTGCAAGGAAATGTCCAGGAGCCTGAAATTCTCGATGCCTGAATGGTCATTCATGGACAGCCATCCTTGGCCTACAAGGAATTTTCCCCGTCGTCCACGACCATGATCGGTCTACCACATTCACACAAAGTAATTCAGCGGCAAGTCCAACACAGTACACTGCTCCACCTCATTGAATGCAGTCTGATACGGAGGCAACTGCATTCTCCTCAAACTATAGTCTCCCTCTCGCAAAGGCCGCCACGCACCACTTTCTTCCACAGCCCGGCTGGTATTCACATAGCCCCTGGCTTTTAACAGCTCAAGATCCGGTGTCGGATTACCAGTACGAATGAAACTGGCCCAGGAGTCCAGTACATACTGCTCAAACGGCAACTCATACTCGTCTCTGAAAGGCTGGTTCAATCGCCGCAGATTCCCAAAGACATAGTACAGATCTCCGGAATGACATTTCCAGTATTCCAGATTCGGGTCACCGTTTGGATGCCCTGCGGTCGGGGGCGCATAGCATACTCGACCGTTGTATACTTGCCCCTCCAGCTCATAGGACCTGTTGAACTCATAGAAGTACACGTCGGGAAATATGTTGTTGACAATTCCTGCATAACCTGTTGCTTCATCGATACATCGAAACATACCGTCAGTTGCCACACGGGCGGACGTGTTGAACACGTCTAGCGTTGCATTAGGGCCAGTGGCTAGTGGGAAGAGGCCGCTTGCAAGGACAGACGCGGGCAGGTCATTCTCAGTTAGAAAAGTGTCGATACTCTCGCTGGCATTTGGATAGCTGATGAACTGGGCACCGTCATCACGCATGATGCCCATCATAACAGGTACACGCGATGCTTCTGTGTAGCTGCTGAGATCAAGTTGAGGGCTGGTCAGATACGTCCCATCAACGACGAGATATCGCGCTGTGGTCGACAGATCGGATATGGCACTGGCGGTATACTTCCTGAGACAGTCCACAGGCGATGTTGCAGCAGTGCAGTTAGTTTCTTCGAGGATGGCGTTTGCAGCTACATCCATCTCCTCATCAATGGTATAGTACCGTGAGTAAGTGGTGCCATACGCAAGACCCCCGAGGTTGCTTTGCATGATAGCGCGACTGAACTTTCCCTTTGCTTTAGGTGAAGCCAGCAATGCTCGCACGGAGGCTGCTCCAGCAGACTGACCAAAAATGGTGATCTGATCTGGGTCACCTCCAAAGGCTTCGATGTTTTGGCGGACCCAATCGAGAGCAGCCACTTGGTCAGCCAGGCCGAAGTTGCCGTTGGTTTTACCGTCATTCAGAGCGAGAAAGCCAAGGGTTCCGAGTCGGTAGCTGATCCCTACCACAACAACATCACCTCTAGATGCAAGATTCCCTCCATCGTAGTAGGGATCGTCCGGGCTTCCGCCAGTAAAGGCACCGCCATGGATCCAGAATGCAACTCGTCTCAAATTTGTCTTCTCTGCCGGCTGACGAGGGAGATAAGGAGTCCAGATATTCAGAATGAGACAGTTCTCTTCATTACCATTCGCGTCGCGCTGACACACGGACCCATACTTCAAAGCAGATACGTTGCCTCCACTGCCTGTGTATGGTTCTGGATAAGTCCATCGTTCTTTCTCGGTAGCGAAGCGGACACCGATGAACCGGAATATAACATGATCACGATACCTATCCTGTGAGCTAATGTTTGGTTGGCGAAAAGGAGAACCTTACCCTGTTAGGTATTCATTATTCGCATGCACTGTAACTTGATACTTGCTGCTTGTGTTCTGGTAGTCTTCTGTCGAATAAGGAGCACTCTGTGTGCAAAGCACAGGGTAAAGATGGTTGCTCTCTGCCGTCGCAATGGTTCCTTTCAGATCAATTGTCCTACCAGTGCCGTTGACTGACAATATCCAGAAACGCTGATTGTCTTTGTAGTCGCCACGGTACGTAAGGTATTCAAGGTCAGCCTTGAGGTCCGCAGGTGTCGACGGAGCACTGCCCCAGAGTGACTCTCCGAGCGCATTGCAGGCTTCGGTCGCTTCCTCCAGATTCTTTTCACCCAAAATTATGACGCTTGAGTTTACCAATGGACTATCTACCTCTTTTTAAGGGTTATACATCCTGCCGTCTTGATACTTTGACTCACACTCACCTAATAGATCATTATGCAGTAGAATGGAGATATCTGACCCCAGACACTCAGGTCCCACCACAGCAAGAATAGGAGTCACTAGAAGGGAGAGTAGAAATGCACGCATGTTGATCATTCTTGCTCGTATAGAAGTGGTGGATCTTCATCTTCTCCTATTATGCTGCCAAGTATCAAACAAAGTGGGATTGCTATCCCCGAGGCGACCGTGCTCAACTTCAAGGAGCTTCATTGTATTGGTGGACTGAGTTTTTGCGCCTGACTGGACAGACCTTTCCCCGCACTGTAGTATGCAGCCATTCTGGTCTGTCATGCATAACTCGGTTCAACAAAGTCCGAATACATGGGAAAGCTTGCTTTCATAGATCTCGTTTCTCGCGACTAACGTTCCGTAGTGCGCTGTACGAGGAAAGATGCTGTACCCTACCATGGTCACGCCGGCTCACCGTTGCCTTGTAACGTGATATATTGGGCTACGTTTTACGCTGTCCTATGCCAACGTTTATGTTAGATTATAACTTTCTTACTTGCTGTTGTAGACCGTAAGTTGAGCTGCAACGGCCTGGGGCTACACAAATCCCGTTCATAAGCCAGCTAGAATCTTAGATTTATGCTACGAGCAATGGGGTCAATTAGTGCGACTCATCAGTTGCATTAAAAGTCAATTTAGTAGCTCCCAGTGCTAATCAAGCAGTAAATATACGCTCCTTCACTGTCTCCTTGGTTTAAAGTATGTCTGGACATAATCTGCATTCTTCTTCTGCTTTACAGATGGGCTACTCTTCGTAGATTCGAAAGGACCACAACTTTCACAACAATCAGTCCATGTGTAGTCCCCATCTCCTGTACTGTTCTCTGACAGAATTCTCCATAGCCCTCAATCTAGCCCCTGCTCAATCAGACTGTTAGCATATAGATTGAATCCCACGGCGTCAGAGACTCACGCTCTCGAATTCTTTCAGGTGTGAGTTCTGGGGCAGGCTTCCAAACTGCCTTCAAATTCTGGCCGGGAACAGGTTCCAAGAGAGCCACCACGATGACTTGAGGAGTCTTTATGGGAGTTTCTGTTCTCTGGACTTTCCTGTATCCAACGTACTCCACGTTCCTAATCTGTTTGGACTTCATGCACTGCAGTTGCTGCTCGTCACCAAAGAACGCTTTCGATAATGCCTTTCCTATGATTTCCTTGAAGAGCCGTGGTTGGTTGGGATTGTAGCTCACGGCACAAAATTCCATGATCATGTTCAGTATCCCCAACGGAAGTCTTGCGATGAGGTCGGTTAGACGATGTTTTCAGCTGCTTGCAGAGTATAGTCATAGCCTACTCACTTGACGATGATGTGGGTTACATCAGCTATTGAAAAATCGCGGCATTGATCCTCGAGGATCAGGTCAAGTGCAGGCACTGTAGCAGTGATGTTATCGGCCGGGGGTGTTGATTCCATGATCCTCGAGATAGTAAATCGCTAACAACTGAGATACGATAGCAGAAGAGGTTGCGGGTTATGTCTGTAGATTGTGAGGAGTAAGATCAGACTAGAGATGAAATATTTATAGCAAGCAATAATGAATGTGAGATGGTATTTCTGGTACCCATGTAACTGGCAGTACTGGCAGCCTATTCCCAAAGAAGCCATGTCGGTGGAATACCTAACTCCATCACATTCACTAACAGATAATTTCTAATAAGGTGAAAATCTTAGATTGCCCCGGTAAAAATGTAAATTTCTATACCGTTTCTATGTTCACATAAGTGGTTAAATCTCGGATCTGGCTTGCTACGACCTTCTTCACTGCACATTGCAGACAACAGTAGGAATTCCATGTTTTCAGTCTGTGACTATGAATCATTAGCGTACCTGCCAAACAATCACTGCAGGGTCAGGCTCTGTATCAGGGCCATGTAATTAAGCCTGTTGATCAGCACGGAAGACCTATCGTTCTTTGTCACAAGTGCACGGCTTCTCCCGGTTTAACATAGTTCTAGAAACGAAATGAAGAATTCCATTAATATTGTATAAAATGGCCCTTCCAGACATTCTTTTACTCTGAACTTTTTCTTACTCGCTAATTCCTCCTAATCTTCCTCTTCCCTCCTGTGCTGTCGAACTCTCACCCTTCGCTACTACAGTATCTGTCACTTGATTATCCAACCAACCTACCACCCAACAAATAAAAGCACGATGTGCTCCTTTGCAGTACGCAGCCACCTTGGATGTAAACATCTAGCCCAGGCTGGTTTCACCCGCTGTGAAACTGCACAACGAGAGGGTAGAGCCTGTCCACGGACGACTTGGGACTATCAGCTTGCAGAACCTTGGCTAGGGAAATGTGATAATTGCCAGAAGCCAAAACTTGAGACTCGCATTAGCAGGAGAACGTAAGCCTGTCTCTTGTTCAGCCGCAGTGGTGTTATCGATAATGCAAATGCGCCATGCTAACGAAGACTGAACTCAGCATTTCGCGATGATCAGCCTTGTCAAAAACTCAAGTTTCTTGGAAGATATGATGGATGATAAGATGGGATATTCAAGGTCAAGACTTTTCTAGTGTTTAGGAACCACAAATAACATTTGCAGCAAGCTCCTTGTTGCATTGTTCCTTGCTCAACAAATTGATATCATTTGACGTAGCGTATTCAGCTGGTGGAGAATAGTTGTCACTATTTGCCAATGGCTTGTAAATGTAGAGGTTCCTCAGCGGCCATAGCGGTCTGGCAAAGCGACTAGAATATCCTGTCTCCCCCAGCTGGGGTAAACCTATTGCGATAATCTGCAGATCCCCCTTCTTTACATTGGTGAATAACTAGTAGTCTAGTAGTCAGCTATAACCATCTTCTCCCTACTTATTTATTATTGCTCATTGCAGAACGCTTAACCCCTTTAGGCAGAGCGCGACAACCGGAGAAACAAAGTCCCGTATTACCTCGCTTACCCGAAATAGCAACCCGCCATACCCAAACCAGCTAGCGCAGGCGGTAAACCAGCCACCGCCCCGATATATTGCCCGACTTCCGCATTCGGCGCGTCAAGTCTGGTTCAGCTCAGCATCTCACGAGATCTCTTTCTCAATCTCGTACCCTTTTCACTTTTGTTATAACCCCATTGACCCGTCCGTCCACCACCTACGCAATTAACTAGTACGTCTATCACAAATTCACTTCCTAAACATCCCAATTGACCCACTAACACCCTCACAGCTCACACCCACACAGCAACAGCACAGCTTCACACCACCTTACCAACTCTATCCCTCCCATCAGCCCATCAAATCCGCACCAAAATGACCACCCGCCCGCTCAGCCCACCGACCTCCCCCCGCAAACGCACCAAAGCGATGCACCTCCCGTCATCGCAACGCATCTGCCACGACTGGATGGTGGTGCAAGGCAACGTGCACTACGCGCGCGACCGCGCACACTTCACGACCTACCGACCCGTGACCGCGCACCTCAAGAACAACATCTTCAACCCGATGGACGAGCTCGAAGTGGCCGGTATCGGAACCGTCGAGATCCCCGTCGTCCGCAGCCTCGATAACCCGTTCGATACGCATACCATTGTGCTCGAGAACGTGCTGCATATCCCCGAGGCCGTGTGCAATGGGTTCAATCCGCTGCTGTTTGGGAGTAGTATGTCGTGTACGGAGACGGCGTGGATGGGGGCGGATCGCGAGGGTAGGTTGATGTGGGTGGCGATGCCGTTTCGGGGGGGTTCGAGGTTGGTGCTGGCTGGGGGGTTGGTTGGGGAGAGTGAGATTATAGAAGGGAGGTATTATACGTTGAGTTTGTATGTTAGTCCCGAGGAGAAGGGGGAGTTTTTGGCATGATTTGGTTTTTGATTTGTGTCTTGTTTGGGTTGGAGTTTGGGGGCTGGGCTGGTTGGGTGAGTGTATGATAGCGGTATAGCTAGCTAGCTAGCTAGATGTTATTGTTATGTGTAATACGAGTCATGATAGACAGACAGACAAGATAAACAGAAGCCAGCACTAAGCAATTGATGTAAACTGTAATCACACGTGGAATCTAGCTCGGGCCCTGCGTCGAAAAGGGTCTGGTCTGGGTCTACTAACAGGCTAGATCGAGTTGACCCGGTCTGTGCGGGTTGGGCTGCAGTGATGCCCGAGGCGAATCTATTCGGCCCTCGTTTCCCACACTCCATGTGGCGGGTGGAGAAATAACTCGCCCGATATGGTGGTCTGATTGATTCCAGACTGCAGCTATAGGCAAATTATCCAATGGCCTATTGGCAGATTCATTCGAGCTCTCGTATGGGTCATGCGCTGCGGAGTGCCTCGCTTAGGGTTGACTTTAATTTCTCTACCCCGGATCCCCATGCCTACGGCACGTCGGGCCGTATTCCGTGGTATTTGAGAACACTGACATGAACAGGATTAGAGGTTCATTAAAGTAGGTTAGCTTAGTTTAGATGAGTCAATCATAGCTGGCTTGTAGTGGCTAAAGGTCAATCAAATCAAAGGTATCGACTAGTGCAGTAGTTAGCAGCCTCCCCCGCCAACAATTTGCCCTCCAACCATTCATCTTCCACCACAGGGCAAACCTACCCCGGATTCCCTATTCCCGTTTAGATACGGGGCTGCACCCTTGCTGCATCAGCCGATCCTATCACATCTCCTCGGCCATATTACCGTTGCATCCGATACATTCTACCTGGCCTCACCGGCTGCCTCGACTGAGTACTCACTAAATAGTATATATGTGTGGTGAGTTCCCCGTGTTATTCCCACTTTCATCCCGATCATCAATATCTTAGTATTTAATACCTCAACTAAGTGAGTGGATATGGCTGAGAAAACCACGACCAGCGTCTCTCACGTCGACGACACCGACCACCCCAATGTCCAACTCAAGGGTGGGGTGGGCGACACGGCTCTGGCTGTGGCGACGAGTCTCCAGAAGCCGTCGCTATGGAGTAAGAGCATGCTTAAGGTATGCCCTCTTTTTCTAGTACTCTCTCGTCTCCTAATATAGTGTGTCGATAGTTGTACGGCTGCATCGCCGTCGCCATGCTCAACTCCTGCATCAACGGCTACGACGGGTCCCTGATGGGTTCCATCAACAGTTACGCCCAGTACCGAGACTACTTCGGCTTCGACCCGAACAGCGGCACGCCGTCCACGGGTATCGTCTACGCCATCTATACCATCGGGAATATCGTCGGATCGTTCGTAGCTGGCCCGGCTACTGACTTTAAGGGTATACCCCACCCCTTACCTGTCTACTTACCCCAACATAGCCCCAGCTGACCACATGAATATTAAAATAGGCCGCCGCGTCGGCATGGCCCTCGGATCCCTCTTCATCATCATCGGCACCATCGTACAAGCAACCTGCCACAACATCGGCGGATTCATGGGCGGGCGATTCATCCTCGGTTTCGGCGTCGCCATTTCCGCGACAGCCGGTCCGGCGTACGTATCGGAGATGGCGCATCCAGCATACCGTGGCGCCATGACGGGTCTATACAATGTGTTGTGGTTCGGAGGCGGTATCCCGGGGACGTTCATCCCGTGGCGGACGAGTCAGATCGAGGGGACGATGAGTTGGCGGATCCCGATCTGGTTGCAGATGGTGTTTTCGGGATTGGTGTTGGTGTTTGTACCTTTTGTTGCCGAGGTATGTTCTCCCCCACTTTATTTCTTCAAAAGTGTGGAAAGTATGCTAACGTGCTGGTGTGTAGAGTCCCCGCTGGCTCATCTCCCAAGACAAACACGACGCCGCACTGCAAGTCCTCGCCGACTACCACGGCGACGGGGACAGGAACGCCCCTATCGTGCAACTCGAGTACCGCGAGATGATCGAGGATATCTCCCAGACGGGATCGGATAAGCGGTGGTGGGATTATCGCGAGTTGTTCAATACCCGGGAAGTGCGGTACCGGTCTATGCTGGTTATCATTATGGGTATATCTCCACATATTCACCATCCCTTATATGAAACATACTGATTAATGAATAGCTCTTTTCGGCCAATGGACCGGCAACGGCCCCGTCAGCTACTATTACCCTCAGATGCTCCGCGGTGCCGGAATCACAAACAACAACACGCAGCTGATGCTGCAAGGAGTGCAGAACGTCGTCTCATTCCTAGGCGCCGTGTCAGGAGCACTCATCACAGACCGAATTGGGCGACGTACACAGCTCCTCGTGTCGACGAGTATTGTGGTGGTACTATTCGCGATAGTGACTGCGTTGAACGCAACGAACGTGGTCGACGGAGCGGACGGCACGCCCATTGCCAAGAGCGCAGTTGCAGCGCGCGCACAGATCGCGATGATTTATCTCTTTGGGTTTATCTATTCGGCTGGCTGGACGCCTAATCAGGCGATGTATCCGGTGGAGTGTTTGCGGTATGAGAGTCGGGCAAAGGGGATGGGGATGAACAACGTACGTTTTACCCCTTTTCTGCTCACATATATATATATATATATAAATATATACGTGTGTGAGAGTGGGTGCTAATTGTGGCAGTTCTTCGTCAACATCGCGTCTTTTTACAATACCTTCGTGACTGGCATTGCTTTCACGCAGGCCGGATGGAAGTATTACTTCCTGTTTATCTTCTGGGATACGATGGAGGTGATTGTGATTTACTTCCTGTTTGTGGAGACGAGTAAGCGCACGCTGGAGGAGTTGACTGTTATTTTCCAGCAGAAGAATCCGGTCAAGGCGTCATTGAAGAAGCAGGATCTGACGGAGATTGAGGAGATGAAGTGATCTTCCTTCATCTTTGCAGAAGTATATAATCTACGGTGTGTGATGCTCACTACTCACTACCACCATCTTTCCTTTCAGTCAATTGCACAAGTTGTTTGAGAAATACCATTATCATAACCAACCATAGCTATACCATATCCATAATATTTTATCCATCCCAACAAAAGAAACCAACAAAGGAAATAGTAGTAAACATAAAAAATCAAGCCGTCGAAACGACCGTCTCCCTCCCTCCCTTCCAGCCCCCATCATACACCCCTCCATTCCCAGGAACAACCACACTCCCATCTCCATCCCTCGCAGCATGATTAACTTCCCACTCTCCCGGCGGGAGCATCATCTGCTCATCGCTAACCGTATTCCACTGCGTATCCGGCAACGACAACGGATGCTTGAACTTGCGTCTCTTATTCTTACTATTATCCGTGCCCGAATGCGCCGCTCCATCCGATAACGGATAGCTCTGCGAACTGCCCTTCGTCCCCTTGGTCGACATGTACCACCCTGCTCGCATGGCCAGTCTGCGACACATCGGGTAGATCATCGGCGCGTTGCCGATTATTACCGCTACGAAGGTCTCGCGGCAGGCCCAGCTGCCGGCTTGGGAGGCGCCGTTGGCGCCGGCCTGTTTGCATTACCATGGTTAGTAGGTGTGTCTTTTGGGTGAAGGGAGGTGGCACATACGGTGACGATCAGTACGCAACGAAGTATACCACACGCCATGACAAAGGTACCACCGCTGAAGAGGATAAGGAGTTCAAGTTTCTCGCGCCATGGAAGACGAGCTTTAAACAGGATCTGGCGCATTTCAAATAATTCCGATAGTTAGTCTTGGCTGGGTAGATTTGTCATGGAGAGGGCAGGGTACAAGGGATGGACTTACAGGGGTCGGGATGGAAATCAAATACACGTCTGTAGCGACGTTCAACACCACCGTCACATAGACGTCGATGTGTGAGACAGCCGGCTGGCAGTAGTTCCCCGGGTTGGGGTTGATCTGCCAGCTCTTCTGGATAGGGTGGCATCCTGCGAGGATGCTGATGATGACGGCGATGTAGGTGGCTCCGATGAGGAAGTATGCGATGCGGATACGGATGTGCATGTTGATGAGGCCGGCCCTATCAAGACGAACTGTTAGTATGAAGTCTGTGAATAACTGAGTGGGGTGGCTGCATACGTCAATCGAGAATAAAACACCGCCATGCACGACTTCAGCAGCCACAGCAACGTGGTATACAGCGACCACCCTAATACCTGCGTTTTGGACCCCCCAACCCGCAAATGGTACTCCTCTGAAGTAGGAGAGAGCGCAGCGCGCTCAGCGTCTGTCATGGCATTATTGGCGAGACCATTCCACCACGCGCTGACGCAGTAGGCGGCGCCTGTTTCGAGACCGTATACTACCTGTCACAGAACCAGTCTTATCAGCATGGAGTGGCGTGGGAAATGGTGGCGGGGAGAGGCAGGCACATACCCCCGCCAACGGCATCAAATAATCATCGAGCATAAAGTTCTTCCAGCCGGCGGTGAACCATCGTGCAACAATGCGAATGGCTATAGTGACGATGGCGATAGCTAAGAGAGTGAACGCCTCGACGACAAAGTCGTCGCCTGCCATGACTGACTGACTGACTGACTGACTGACTGAAGTTGCAAGAGAGGGTGGTGGAAAGGAGTGGACCTGTGGATCTGTTTACAAAAGACAAGACAATCAGGAGAAAGGGACTTAGAGGGTATACTACATGTTAATATATCCCCAGTCATCAAACATCCCAGTCACTGACTGCCTGCCTGCCTGCCTGCTTGTTCTAAATTTTGGCACTGGCCTCAAGTTGACAGTCGGCACGCACGGTTCATATTCACCACCCGGCAAAACATCCGACCCAAGCGAGTGGTTCCGTGCTGGCTCCCTTTTTTTTTGTCTCCTTCCTCCCTGGTGAATTCTGTCTCCTGACAGGGGAGAGCCCGAAGTACGATGCAGTAGTTTGGTGGCACTTAAGCAAGATAGGGAGGCGACTGGGCCACACAGTGGACTAGACTGAAACTACGGGGACCAGTTCTTGTAATTTCCGGTAGGCTATACTAGACTATACTAAGCATCAGACCCAGCCCAAAAACAAGGCCAGGCCGTGTGCCGTTACGCGGGAAGAGACGGAGGGGGAAAGCCATGGCCCAGTTCGTGTATGTGTGGGTGTGGACGGGGCAGTGGAGATGGGAAGAAGATGAGGATGAAGAAGGAAGAACGCTATGATTACCGGATAGAGACAGAGATCGGCGCGGGGATTACGGAGGCATCGGCAGTTAGTACTTTGGCAGCAACAACAAGTTGGCACAAGTTTACGGATAGCCGATCAGCACAGACCCAGAAATTGAGTCGCAGGATGCAAAGGATGCATGACATATCCATAATGCAGGTGTATGCATCAACTATTGAATCTGAATATTGAGTTTATCGCATTAATCAGATAGAGCTGCAGGGCAGGGCGGCAGTGAAGAGCTGACTGACAAGTCAATTTACTACGTATATCTTAAAGTATAAGACAAAGTTCTGACGATCCAGGAATCAACCAAAGCTGACATCCTGTCATTCCTGTCAAGTGAATCACCGGGTCAAACTCTGAACATTGGGACCAAATCCCGGTGGAGCTGCCCTTTCATAACCCTAACTGTCAACTACCAAACTAGTGTCCGCGCCGGCCGTCGCTTGCGATCAACCAACAAATGAACGCGCCTGTATCACCCCCATCCTTGTTCCTCCGTACTTAAGTTGAGGACTCTGCAATTTCCTCGGAACTCTAACTATCATCTTCCGTCTCAACTGCAGACCAATCTAGTCCCTACTTATTTTTTTTTTTCCTCCGGCCCATTCCTCCCTGGTACTCCGTAGTCCGTACTGTACTACTCTGTTTTCAGACAGTGATCCCGTCAGTCCGCCACTAGTAACGGAGTAAATCCAAGTCCCCCTTCCCTCCATCATGCAGCCAAGACAGGGAGTGTCGACGGAATTAAAACCCGCGATCGGCGGGTTTCCAACGGTCATACTCCCCCCTTCCCCCCTCTCTTTTCGTCTGGTCTCCCCATTCTTTTCTTGGGTGTTTGTGTTACTATAAATCGCTGGCAGTGGCTGCTCCACTCGAGCAAATGCTTGTGAGCGCGGTTGTGTTACATTAGCAACAAAGTACATTGTCTATTTTTAATCACCGACTGGCATTCCCTTCCTTGCATTGTCTTCCTCTTCACAGCGTTCTTCTTTCTTTCATCCTTTCTCTCTATTTAAATTTCTTCATTCAATTCAATCCAATTCAATCCACTCCATTCACAACCTACGGATTCGTCATCCATCCACTATGGAGTCGTCTGTGGAAATGGAATTCGTCGATCTCGTTATTGTCGGAGCAGGTATTTTCCACTCACCTTTCCATCCATTCATCCTTCCGTCCATCCCTTGCATGCCCTTTCCCGTCTCATTCCCTTTCCCCAATGTCAATGCCACTCCATTTACCCATCCTCACCCTCCTACCTCACAACACATCAACTAACACAGTCTGCAAAAAGGATGGTCTGGTCTCTCCGCCCTCAAAACCTACCACGAGGTGCACCCCACCGCCCGCATCCTCCTGCTGGATAGCGCCACCACCGTCGGCGGCGTCTGGGCCGCCCACCGGCTCTACCAGGGCCTCAAAACCAACAACATGCTGGGCACCTACGAATACAGTGACTTCCCCATGGACAGCGCCACCTTCGGGGTGAAGCCGGGCGAATATATCCCGGGACACGTGGTACACAAGTACCTGAATGCCTACGTGGACCACTTCAACATCCGGGACCTGATCCGCCTCGAGACGAAGGTCGAGGTCGTCGAGCACGTCGACGATAATGACGGGGGTTGGACACTCACCACCAGCACATCCCCCTTCTCTTCATCTTCGGACGAAGCCCAAAGGAAGATAATTCGTACAAAGAAGCTGTTGCTAGCAACAGGAATGACCTCCGAGCCTTTCCTCCCACACCTCCCAGGACAAGAAACCTACCCCCACATCATCACCCACACCGGCACTCTCCTCCCCCACCAGACCACCCTCTTCCAAAAAGACAAAAAGGTAACCATCTACGGCGGGACCAAATCCGCCTGGGACGCCGTGCACGCCGCCGCGACGTCCGGTGCCAACGTCACATGGATCATCCGCTCAACTGGCCACGGGCCGGTGTGGATGACTCCGCCGTACGTAACGCCCTTGAAGAAATGGTTCGAGAAGCTGCTCACCACGCGGCTGTTGACCTGGTTCTCGCCGTGTATCTGGGGCGATGCGGACGGGTGTTCACGAATTCGGAAGTTTCTGCATGGTACCTGGCTCGGTCGGAAGATCGTGAATGCGTACTGGGCGGTGCTGGAGAATGACCTGTTGACACTAAACAACTACGACGGCCATGAGGAGACGAAGAAGTTGAAGCCGTGGTTCAGTTGCTTTTGGATTGCTAGTGGACTGAGTATTCTGAACTATGAGGAAGATTTCTACTCCCTAGTTAAGGAGGGGAAGGTACGGTTGGTGATTGATGATATTGTGAAACTTACCGAAGATGGGGGTATTCACTTGGGTAAGTCCGGGGAGGTTATTCAGAGCGAGGGGTTGATTTGTGCTACCGGGTGGAAAGCCCAACCCAATATGGAGTTCAGACCCGCGGGCATTGAGAGCGAGTTGGGGTTCCCGTGGGCGGAGGATTACTTGAGTACGCCGATGGTGAAGAGGGCGGATCAGGAGATTTTGACGCGGTTCCCGAAGCTGCGCGAGAGTATGAGTGTCGGTGTCAATGGGAAGGAGGATTATCAACATCTGGCTCCTGGGGCACCGGCTACTGCGAAGCATCCGTTCCGGTTGGTGCGGTTTATGGTGCCGGCGGCGTTTCTGAAGGAGAGGTCGGTGGCGGTGCTGGGGACGACGATGACGGTGAATACGCCGCTGATTGCGCAGGTGCAGGCGCTGTGGGTGGCGGCGTTTATGGGGGATGGGATTGGGGTGAAGGCGAGGGAGACGTGTCCGGTGGAGGTGAAGAAGGGGTTGATGGAGGATGAAGTGGATGGGGATGTGGTGTGGGAGATGGCGCTGCATACGCAGTTCGGGAAGTATCGGTGTCCTGGGGGGTTTGGGAAGAGAAACCCTGATTTCGTGTTTGACACGTTGCCGTATATTGATCTGTTGTTGCAGGATATGGGACTGGATTGGCGACGGAAGGGCAGTTTGAAGTGGTTGGAGCCGTATGGGATGGAGGATTATCGGGGGTTGGTGGAGGAGTGGTTGAAATGATCACACTCCATAGTTAGCTACTGTACTGGTACCTTGTAAATAGACAAGTCGAATGTGTCCATTTCAGCTACAACTTTGTTGAAACTACTACTACAACCGGAACCCTTCAAACACAGCTACTCCCCCATCCAGTTTCTGGCCCTCCACTGTCCCCGAAACTACCCCATTCCACCGGAAATAATTCTTCCCATCACCAGCTACTTCCACAGTCCCTTGGATCCGCAGCTGCACATCGTCCATCGCCACATCCACGCCGTAGCTACTCGCCGTCATCCTCTCATCGATATTGATAATACTGTTACGGCAGCCCGACTGCATGACCTTCCCATCCCGCGCCAGATAGGCGCTCACAATCGGCGTGGTGTTGTTCTTATCCCCTCCCTCTCGAGGCGTGTACTGCAGCCACACCAACGCATACTGTCCAATATGCACATGGCCCCAAGACCAAGTCTTGACGGTATTTTGGAACGGGCGATTTCCCCAATTCTAACCCTATCAGACACACGCACACAACGAAGTACGAGGAGGAGAAAGATACATACCTTATCATGATACCCAAACCCCATAAACTGCACCTTCTCCCCATCGACCACCAAATCCACCATAGCATGCGAATCCGGCACCATACTCACCCATCCCAAACCCTCACCGAGTCCCAACGCCCGATTCGTCTGCTGAGGCGTCGAGCAGGGCAGGAGTGGTGGAGCGAGCTACCCTCACCATCATTACCATTAGCATATCAACATCTATTATGTAATATCAAGGTATACTCACATCCCTAAACACTATCCTCCCACTAACCCTCCCCCCTCCCACCCCACCCACGCCTCATACCCCGATTCCCTACCCGCCCAACCACCCGTGCCTTCCCACCCCCCGGAACTGACCTCGCGATCGCCCATCACCGACGCATCGATGGGGACGATATTCTGAGACACAGTGGTACCATTCGGCAAGGTAGCCCAGACGTAGGTGAGCAGGACGGAGGAGAGGTTCTGCGGGACGGCAGGGAATGCAGTAGCAGTGGTGGTGAAGAAGGTGAGGACAATAGAGGCATTGGGGTTAGTGGAGGAGACGGCGTCGAAGTACCACCATTCGAAGACGGTGGTGTTGACTTCGGATAATTTGGGGGATTCGAGGTCGGCGAGGTGGGTGGAGTCCGGGACGAAGTCGACGTGAACGGGGTAGTCGACCGCGATGGGGTTGATGTCTTTGAGGTATTGGGCGGTGGTTGTGGTGGTGGTTAGGGTTATCGTTGTGAAGAGGAAGAGAGGGAGGAGGGGAAGGGGGGAAGGCATGGTTGGTTGATGAGGGTGTGGATGATGTGGCTATATTCAGCAAGTTGTCTGTTGGCGATGCTGGCAATAGCAAAAGACAAGTATTGACAATAGTGGCAGCTTTAATGGACATTGGCATGGGGCACTCATTGCAGCGGTGAGTGATTTGATCACTTTGGCGGAGTAGTAATGTTTCCGGAGACCTTGCATAGTCCCATCTGACAGGTTGCTCATGTGTCACTCAATCAATCTGAGTCGGACCAAATTGAAACAAAAACAAGCATCGCTCATAAAGGAATAAAAGATGGTAAATAACAAACATTCCAATCCATACACGCTGGCCAACGCCTCTACTTACATACGTATACATGAATCAGGCTGCCCGACGCTGATGCCATCCCGAACAAAGCAAACAATCAACAATCCGGTCCCAACCTGTCCCGTCAAAAATAAGTCACAGTCAAATCAATACAAACTCGCCGTCCAGAGTAGCTGGTCAATCAAATACAGTAACGACCCTCCATCAACTCCAGAACATGCGATAAACGCCAATCCCGTCTCAGTGCTGTCCATTTGATTCGTCACTTCGATCCTCCTCCTTGACCATCCCGTGATCCCCTGGCTTCATGCCATCAGAGCCGTCTTTGCCGCAGCCTTTCACAAGAATGTGTCGCTGTACACTGTTAGACTATACCGAGAAACTAGAGAAGATATGATCTCACCTTGAGCGCATCCTTGCGTGAAAAACTCTTGTCGCAGTGGGTGCACGGGAACGGCTTCACCGAGAGGTGAATACGCTTATGTCGCTTCAAGTCGTGGTTGCGGTTGAAGCTTTGTGGACACTGGTCACACTTGAACGGTCGATCGTTGGTGGGTCCTGGAGCGCCGTGACCCGGATGGGGTGGGTGACCCCCATACAACTGCTGCATCTGCTGCATATTGGCCACGTGCCCACTGTTGTACCCAGGCAACCCAGGCAGCACCCCGGACTGCAAGTTTCCGGTGAGTGACATCTGCCCGTTCGGATTGTGCACATTCGTCCAGATGGGTCCGTTCATCGCCGGAAGCGAATATGACGGCCATGGCTGTCGTTGATAGTTCAGATGGTGCGAGGGGTGCGGATTTGATGCCACCCGGTTGGGCACGATGCCCTGTTGTCCGTACGGCGAATAGCCGCCCGGTGGGCTGGACAGCTGCTGGATAGTCCCATAGGCTGGGGCAGACGATGATTTGACCATGTAGGGGTCGTTCGAGGGAAGGGGATGCGGCGACGGTGTCGGGTTGGGCAACGGGTTGTGTGCTGACAACATCGCGTGTGTCATTGCGTGATGCTGCTGAGGAGCACCCGCCTGAAGTGGTGCAGCAGCGGAGACCGAGGCAGATTGGTGAAACGGCGGCAAGTGATTCATTTCGTATGGCTGGGCAATGTGCTCGGTGCCTGGAGTCGATGTGGCGGGATTGCGATTCAGGGAATTCACCGACGGAGAGAAGGTGTCTCGACTCGGATACACCACACTCGAGTTCCACGACTGACGGGCAGCTGCTGCCCCTGACCCACTCTGATATGCGCTCTGGCTTTGCCAGTACGGAGCCAACTCCGGATTTGTGGGTGCCGTGGTGGTGGCTGTGTGCGAGGTCGTAGCAGGGAGTTTTTCACCCGACTGCGTGGTCGCTGGGGGTGTGAGAAGGTTGCTGACGCTGGGGTTAATAGGCGGAGGATTGTGATGGGCGTACTTGACGCTGGTCTGAAAGTTGGGTGCAGGAAGCTCAAAGCTGGGTAGCGTCGGGGCTGCAGGACGACGCGAGTTCAACGGCTGGTGGGTAGTCAGCGCATCGAGCGCCGTCCCCATGCCTGGAGGGGGGATCGCGAGGGCAGCCAGGTTGGCGGATGTCTCGCGTGAGAAGCTAGAGGAAGGAAATAAATCACCCACTACCACTGAAGAGGGGCCGGCCAAGGTGCTGGACAGATGTCCCGGGAAGGCGACCGAGTCAGATGCAAGGGTCCAGTATCGACTGCCAGACAGGCCACCGGCAATGTCTGGAGGATCCAGGAGGGGCGATCGGATCGCGATCAGCGATCTGAGTCTGCAACGGGGGTGGTCCTGGGAGATCGACCGTGGGTATGATGATGCTCGACGGGTACCACCTGTGTCGGTTGTTTCACGATCGATGGAAATATCACGTCAGGTTGGATTGACCCCTGTGTTTTATCCGGAAGTCATATCCTTTCCGATGGAGCGAGGGTGCTGATGCGACAGAAGAATCAAGCGCGAACACGGCAATGGAGAAAGATCGACGAGGTAGGTCGTAGGATGGTAGGATAGGTGTATTCCGATGAGAAACTAGTCAAGACAACGGCATGATCTTGTTTTTTTTCTCCAGGCAGGCCAACGCGCCCTCACGCGATGCGCACGAGAGAAGACAGGAGTAGTTATGTGTCGAGTGTTGATGTGGATGCGCGGATGAAGATCAGGCGGAATGACAGTTTAGAGTACCATGGACGGGAGTTGAGTGGCAGCGGGGATGGTAGGATCCGGCGCGCGTAGAGCAAGATTTGGGAGGGCGGGAAGGAGAAGATTGGCGGGCGGAGTCGGAGTCGGGAGTTTGCGGTGGTGGTGGTGGTGGTGGATGATGGACGATTTGGTGGGAGCTGAAAGAGTGGGAATTAATTAGTGGTGAAGATCGGACAAGTCGTGGGTGGCGCTGATGAGAGGAGGGAAGATGCTAGTTGGATAAGCTTGCACGGCAGGGAGGAAGAGGAGAGGAGAAGAGAAAAAGAGAAGTCGTGAAGAGACAAGCAACTGAGGGGGGTAAGTTCAGGGAGGGAGATCTTTTATTGTTCGTGGGAAACGAGAAAGAACAGCAAGAAAGTCTCGGGATGGAGAGTGAATATGAATAATAATATGGATTATTTGCTGATGGGCGAAAATGGGGAGGACCAAACAAGCCGGGAATGGAGACGTATCCAGACCAGTCCAGCGCCGGGTCTGGCCAGCGCGGGGGTTGAGTTCACGCCGGGAAAAAATACCAGGGAGAACATACCCACCCTGACGGTCCGATAATGACTAACTCCCTCTCCTTCACACGCAGTTTTTATTTTTTTTTCTTTCTTTTTTTTTTCTTTTTTTTTCCTTTTACTTTTTTGCTTTTATCTTTATTTCTATTTATTTGTTTACTCTTTGGGACATGGTTTGAATTTACTTATCTACCAGTCTTGACCACTACTGAAGATACCAAGCAGGAGGGTCAGACTGACACAGAGAGAGAAAAGAGTAAATAGGGAGAGATGGTGAGATACAAAGCATGACATTCATCCCATACTCACGCAGGACTATCCCAGTCCAATCTTCATTCGTCGTAATGTATTTTATTAATCTTAATATAATTCATTCCATCAGCAGTCGATAAAAAAGAAATAGAAAAACAAAATAAGACCGAAAAAAAGAATAATTATCTTCTCAATCAGCAGACTACAAAAAGCAGCATCCAAAGCAGCTAGTCTGGTCCGACCGCATTGAGTGGAGGATTCCCAATTGGGGCCAAGACCCAACCGAAATTTTAGCAGTAATGAATGACTGGATGTATGAATGCTTGCCTGTTGCTCACTTTTCTTTTCTCCAAAATTATTTAGTATACTTATTTTTAAACACAACCCTCTGTCTTGTTTTTATTTGATGCTTTTTAGTTAGTAACAAATTGTTTATTTTCGCTATATTTCATGTAACCGTGATGGAGCGAGTCCATTCAGGCAAAAAGCAAAACCCCTCTCCATGAGGTGAATCAGAAAAAGTAGAAAAGAAAATCAGCATTTAGGAGAAAACACACACCCTAAGAGAGACAAGCCCAGCCGCGCCCGGACAGGCCCAGGACGTTCCGCCGGTATTATTGAAAGGAACCATTGGCAACAAACTTTCCTACCTGACTGAACCTTACCAGTCACTCAGTCTGTCTCTCCCTCGCTCACCCTGAACCACACCCGGATGGAGCCATTCTCCCGGTCCAACCACCCCCAGCGCTACTGACTATCGACCACTTAAGCCTAGCCTAGCATTTCCTAAGCTAAGCCGAACCAACGACGACGGCTCGCTAAAACACACTGAACCAGTCCCAGTCTCCCAATCCCTCGACGCCTGATCAACGGCAACGTGGTTGACAGGGCTCGTCCAGTCGCCCAAGCTGTTCCGTTCCACCTTTGGCGCTTCCCACGGTCGAGGGGGGCGACTCGGTTAGTCGGCCACCAAATCAGAGATAGCTATTGCTGATAATAGAATTTCTTATTACGGAGTAGATGAATAATCAATAATCTACTCCTGATGAGCAGGGAACTCTTCAATCATTCCAGTAATTTCCCATTTCCTCCTCAATATCCTCCAGATGAGACGAGATATGGACACGATTCTTGTCATCTCGCCCGGCAAATAGAATCGTCCAGACCGTCTTCTGCAGATGGACTTGACCCTAAAAGGGCCAGAATCAATGGTGCCAGAAAACCGGTTAGCCCTCCCAGGGTCTCTTTTGGGTCTAGTCGCTCCGCCGTATTGTTTATCCAATCTCAAACTGCCTTTTTACTGGGATTTTGCTGATTGCCCCCTTTGGCAGCTTCTCAGGTAACAAAACAAAGTCACTGTACTTTACACCGTACTTCTGTTCTTTCCCTTCTCCACATCCTCCCCTCCCTTCCTTTGATTTTTAATTTTCTTATTTCCCCTCTCCCATTACTACTCCATACGGATCTTGGGATCGTAAAAACTAGGTTGGCTGTATGTATGTATATAGATAGGCATGTGGAGCGCCGTCCCGTCTGGTCGATCGGCCACCCCGACCCAGCAGGGAATGCTGGCCGCTGTTGCCCTATTTGGTGGAGTCAAGAATAAGCTTAGCCCTCTGCGTCGGGGGTAGCGATCACAGACGAGGGGAAGGAGGGAAAAGGAGGGGGATGGTTTCTCCAGATCGACGGCGGATGGTCGGGAGAATTAACAACGATCAGAATGATGGCACGGATAGAGACGCGTCCACCCAGGGTTCATCTTCCAGGGCACCAGGGGAGAAGAGGGGCCGAACAGGAAGCAGTAGCAAAAGAGGGCCAGCGAACAGGCCATTTACGGAGGACACGCCATGGCCAATCGACGTGGACTGGCAGCAATCAACACCAAACCAGAAAATCAAAAAATAAAATACCAAACGAACAGAAAAAAAAAGAAAGAAAGAAAAGAAAAGAAAAGAAGCGAAAAAGCAAAGCACGGGGGACCCGAAAAGGGGCAGGCAAGCGATCGTTGCTCCTTGCGTCGAGGAATGCATGACAGATGCCGGGCGGTGGAGGACACAGCTGAGGCTGATCGGGTCGGGGCGAGAGGATGGGGGGGGGGGGGGGGGAAGAAGCAGGAAGAAAGCCATGGCGGTCCCTCAATGCTGGTAAGCATCATAATTCTTGGAAGTCATAATTATTAGAAACATTATCGGCAATAATTAGCTGGCAGCTGGGGGAGAAGATAGATTATTCTTAGCAGAACAGCCCGCGACCGGCCGATGTACGGAGAATTACTTAGGTATAGCTCGACGGGGAGATCCACCAATGGAACATTCTACGTCCTGGGGGGGAAGATGTCCTAGTATGGTATCAAATGACTTGCTGGTACAAGATAAAAGACATCACTAATTGAAATGCTCCCAGATTTGGATGAAACAATATCGGGACCCAAAGGGAAAGGTGGTTTTCGATCCACGGTTGATGGTATTTTTTGTTTTTATGGTACCTCGTATCCGTCGGCCATCGACTGCTCTGGCCTGGGCCCTGCTCTGCTCGCACGGACACTGCGTCCCGGCCCTCATCTCAATGCACTTGCGCAGAAAAAAACCCATTCTCCGTCAAAGGCAAACGGTCCCTGGTCCGCTTCTTCCATTCCACGGCCAAGGTCACCTGTTCTTTCTCCTGGGACCCTGGCTCTGACGGGGGGCAGTCCCCCCGATCGTTTGAATCGCTGGAGGATGAGATTCCAATCATTCTGTCCCATTCCTCCGAGGATCCCCCCAACTTCCAATACGAGCGCATATTGGACTGACCACGATAGGGTTGTTGGCACTTGTCAGTCAGTCCTGCGGGCCATCCACCCTACTTACCGTGCTGTACTCTTTCATTCATTCCCCCGGGGAAGGAAGAACCAAGCGATAGGCAGGGACTGGCCTGACCACAGTTTCGCAAATCTTGGACCAGCGCTACTGATTGGTGGATAGGTCCGTGTCTGGCAGTATACTTGCTCAGTACTCAGTATTCAGTAGTAGACTACTCCGTAAGTAGCATCTATCTAACTACTTACTACTTGGTCTTAGTCTGGGTGATTACTCCCATACAGACGGTCGGTCTGAATATTTTACCTGCTCTGTTCGTGTTTACCCAGGTGGTACAACGTCGATACGCCCGGTACTAGCGCCTTGGAAGAGAGTCTGCACTGGCTGGCTCGGGCTTCGGGTGTGGCCCACTATCCCCATCCGGGCGTTAGCGTCGACTCTTCCCTCCGTGATGCCCCACCTGACTTGCCTGGCTGGTCGGCCTGCATGTTGGGACAAGATAGCCGGCCAGTCAGGCGCCCGTCTTGCTTGACACGCGCAAGCTGTACACCTACACTCCCTCGGTCACTTACTCTGTTCTGTTCATTCTGAGAACCTCAGAGAAGTTGGACATAAAACTACACTTTCTAGATGCTAAGCTTATCAGTATCCGTGGTATTGGTGTTTTGGTATGGAAACACCATTCTGTATTCGCTTGTTGTGTACTTCACGTATGGATAGCCTCGGATGGCTTCAGCATGGCTTCGTCAACCAGGTCAACCTTAATCACCGCCATCCGCGATGGTGTCAACAGTCGGGTTTCAAATCAATCCGCTGAAGAAACGCATATGCAAGCCCCGTGGACTAGATGCCAACCACCGCAGTCATTGGTTCCCTGGGAGGTTGCCAGACGAGAAGGATCCGTGGATTGACCAGACCTACCTATCAACGAACCTCTCCCCGGCCTAGGATTACCGCTAAATAAAGCCCCAGTCCAGGGTACTTACCTACTGGAGGAGGAGGCTACTGCCTCCTTGGGTAGTACCTGGGCTTTACCTCCTCCTTCTCCTCATCCCCCCCATGTCCTGGGTAGTGCGTGACCAGACCGCGCAAACAAAGAGGCGCCGGAAATCACAAGCTTGGCCTCTTCTCCCTGGAACCTAACGGTCCACCATCTCTCGCCTTTCCCGACGGGAGGCGCGGCCAGCACCAGCCTGTCGGTATTGGCGGGGGGTTTAGGGGTCGGGAGATCGAGGGCGGTGGCGGCCACGGTGACAGACGCATTAATAATCACCAAGCAAACTGTCTTCATCCATCCATCCCTCCCTCTCGACACCAGATTCAGCCAGTTATCCCATATTATCCTCCGTACGCATGCTATGCCATGCCATGCCACGCCATGCTGTACCCTCTCGGCAGTGTCTCGCAAGGGGGTCTCTCCTTGCCATTACGAACAAAAATCCAAACCCCGCGGTGCGGGCAAACAACCCTGCCCGGAAGCTACTCCTGTGCAACTTGGTGCGACCTACATAGACAGGGGGGTTCGATGGGTCAACTTGTAGCCAATGTGATCTGTGCATCGTCGATCAAGCACATCTTTATGACCAGTCTTTCTGCCCCCTTCATTCAGTCGCCATCGCAGCATGGAACCTGCGAGATTATAGCCAGGAGGACTAATTGCCGACTTAACGTATTGAAATAGCAATGACTCTGACTAGATACCCACTAAACCAACCGGTGGTCTCCCTAGCCGCTCAGGAGAGCTGCTAGTGTGCATTGGCCTCGAAAAGGGTCTGCTCAGACGTTATCCGTCTGCAAGCTAGGAGATAGATAGGAGATAGCAGCAGCCGGCAGATTCCGCACCGTACTTACCGCCGCAACAATGACTAGAGTAGATTACGTGCTGTCGCTGATACCTTTCAACCATGACGGACTGAGTTTACTTCGATAATAATATCTACGAGGTACTAAGTGAGATGGCGTCGTCAACCCGACCGGGATTGACAACATGTGATAGGCTCATAGCTATCGCTCTTGTCACGGTGTTCCTTGCGCCCGTCTCCTAACCTTGCTGTCAACCTAGATTTATACTTTTTCGTTCCGGCTTGGGGGGGGGGGGGGGGAAGGGGGCCAAGAGAGGTGCTTATTCGCGCTAAACCAGCGAACATGATTTACCTACACATCAGGCTTGGCTGCGTAGGTGTGTTGCTGCTGATAGGTGGACTGTAACGGACGAGGTGAATCATCAACCGAACTTAAAAATACGGGGGAGGAGGATAGGAGAGATATCACAGTTTGCAGGTTACACATGGAGTGTAACTATATCAGATGTCGCGGGCTGACACATTAACCACTCAGCTTGTGGAGTGACGAACTCAATTTGAGGAAGGTTTTATAGCCTAGTGTTGTAAAAGAATCAGCGTAGACATAAGTACCAACTTAAGTTTATACACCAAATCGCATACACATTCCTAGATATGTTCCCGGAAAAAAGGGGAGCCATGGGTGACTGATTAGCGGCGGCAACTGTAAATGACAGCCTTGCTGTGTTCAATTCCACCACAACTTTATCTATCAAAGTGTCATACAGTCGGCCTTAAGCCTCAAACGCCAACACGTCTTCGATTGGATTCGGGATCTGCGGGATATGCTTAATGATTACAACCTTTTAGATCATACTAACAACCACTCTACCTGAGAAATCAAGTCAATAAGCCACCACCACCATCACCACCACGAAACAGGATTCTTCCATATCTATCCTAAACAGCGTTACGACAAATTTCACAAGAAAGGAGAGAAAAGAGAAGAGAAGAGGCTCGAGCTCAGACTCCGTCCGAAAAGCTTGAAGCGGATTCAGTTTACGAACCTTACGCCATCCGGCGGGATGCAACGTAGCTAGTAGCCTAAGGGAGTTTTTTATTTGTTTGTATCTTTCCCTGACGGGTCAATTCAAGTAAGTAAAGTAAAGAAAGTCAGTAAGTGGGAAAAAAGTATATTTGTTAATCGCTCATTGTTGACTTACTGTAACTGTACTTTGTTCATATAGGTTTGTTGTGGATGAAGTGAAATTGCGGTCTAGAAGAATAGCAAGTTACTTGTAGGTAGCCATTAGTCAGTTACCTCGAAGTCGGACATGCCCACTGAAGGGAATGACTCGCCTGTGGATAGTCATACTCACCCATTGATGATGGGGAAAGTGAGTGAATGAGCTAGTTTGATGCAAAGAAGGCTAGCTAGCTAGCCTCGCATCCTTCAGGAGGCTTACTCCTTATTCATCTTAGTACCATACACTCATACACTCATACACACTTCAAGTAAGCAAGCACCATTGCATGGTCAGTCAGTAAGTTCCCTCATGCAAGGCGTCAGTCAGTCATTCAGTCAGTCAGTCAGTCAATGCGCGATAAACCCAACTAACTAAGCTAAATGCCCACCAGGTGATCATTCCGTCTTCCTTTAGTACATACATTCCACTCACTAAAAATCCCCCCCTATTCAATTCCCCTCCCACCCCATCACAACCATCTCCCCGGTTATCTTACCGACACACCACTTACCCGACTAGTCACATACATACACAACTATCCATGCATGTCAGCCAATGCTCCGTCCGCTCCACCTCTCTTCTTCTTTCCTCTTTCTACCCTCACGCAGTCTAGTACTTACAATACAATCAAACCCCGGATCCCGAGCAGACAAGCAAGTAAGCGATTCGCCACTACACTACCCTAGTCAACTAACTAGTCTGTCCCCATGTCTAGACTAGCTCGCCTAATCATTCGAGCGCCATGGCGAAAAGCCCGAGCCAGTGCTGCAGGAAGCTTGATCTAGCTAGCTAGTATACTTAAGTAGCATGGTATCTATGCTACGGATTGGCTTGGCTTGGCCTTATGGGGAGAGGGGGGTGGTACTCCGTTCTTGTAGATATATTAGGAGTGTTATAGTAGGTATTGTTGCATTGCTCCCGTGACACGGGTTTAGATCTTAGTAGGGGGCTGTATACATACTTAGCTGCGGAGGTGACCGAAGGTGGTATACATAGATACAACCTAGGCATGATGGAGATGAAAAAGACAGATTCACATGCTAAGGGAAGAGAGAGGTGATAACTAACGAACCTGATTGGTCGGTCGGGGTTCGGTTCCCCCTGAACTGACTGCAGTGAGTGATTGAATGAATGAATGGAGCCCTGGTTTGTGCACACTATAAGTGGCTTTGTTATACAGTGGGAGTTACTACTTATAACAGGAGGTATCTCCGAGTCAGTCCGAGGTATAGAATGTAGTAGTGTCTTGCTCGCTTTGTTATCATGTTTCTATTCCTAGATTGAGTGTGTGTGTGTGTCTGTGACAGTGATATGATTGTTACTATAAGATGGATATTCATATTGATCTCGGACTATCGTAATCCGATATCCGATAAAGTATCTAGTGGGTGAGAATGCGACGGGGGTGTACTACTCTGACAAAGAGATAGTAATCACTATACTAGTTATATTATCTCGTGTAGTGTTAGGAGGATGTTTATATTGGAGTAGGGTCATTATTGGGGATTTCTCCTCCAATGGTTGTGTGGCGATACCAATCTTGCTTTATTTATATATATTTATGCTCTGCTGGTTGTGTAGTATTCTGGCATCAAGTTGATACTACTATCATAATGGTGGTATCTCCGATGCATGCATACTGTAGACGGATATTCCTAAAAGTAGCCACATATCCACATCCCCAGTCAGTCCCTACTTATCCACCATATCCACTGCAAACCCACTTATATAGATAGTAATATATCATTGGCAACACTTATCGCCACTCTATTCATGTCTTAACCCAAGCATCTACCTGCATGTTTCAGAAATTTACTCATTGAGTGCACACCGCCTCAGATCCCACCATCTCATCTACAGTCTACAGTCTACTACATTCTGAAGATATAACTTAGAAACAATAATCCATCACCTCACTACCAAATATCTTCCATCCGTGTAAAGGATACCTGCCAAGCACACCAAGACCCCCAATCATGGATATATGGACATATTATGTCCCTCCGTACGAGCTTGGCAGCTTGGCAAAAAACCCTCATTAATCAATTATTATTATTTTATATTCCACCATCAAATATAGACAACAACATCAATAAATGAATACCGTACCATACATACATACATACATACATACCATACACCAATACGAACTAAACTAAACTAACTCACTACCTAAATAAACAAATCTAAATCCGGCACGGAACTCACACCACTGCTGCAGCAATCGATCGATCACGAGATCGCTGCATCGCTACTGCAAGCCTAATGTCTCTCTCTCCCTCTTTCTCTCTGTCTCTCGCTTGACTCTACCGGCCGAAGGAGAAACCCAAATAAAGGAAGGAAAAAGTGATTCGCATTCTAAGCTAGTGAGAATTTTGGGGGTGAGAAAAAAGTCTAGACTGGTCTGGACCCATGCATGCTTGGCGGTTGTGGTTAGGGAGGAATGCTGGGGGCGGGGAAAGTTGAGAAGGTATTTAGTTTGGGTTAGGCAGGACACATACAACATGCCATGCCTTGCCATGCTATGCTTGCTGTGTTGGGTGGAACATGAAGGGTCAGGGATGGGGAATGTTTAGTTGTGAAAGTAGACTGGGGGAAGTAAGTCAGTAAGTTGGTAAGTGGTGGGTAACTAAGACTGGGATTGAAGGCTGCGGCGCTGTGGTGGCTTTGGGTTGTGGTAGTTTATTTGTCGTCACAGGATCTATCCAGTAATCACTGTATGTGGCTATATGGCTATGTGAATAGACTACTGGGCTGCTTCTTCCTCCTCAACATAAACATCATACTTGTACTTACTCCCCGGATGATCTGCTCTCAACTCCCTCTGCCCCCGTCCATACACCTTCTCTCTCGCCGTCAACCCTTCCTCCTCATCCTCATCCGCAACAGCATCAGGATACAGCCCTCTCCTCCTCAACTCCGGCACCAACAACTCCACCACATCCTCAAACGTCCCCGGAGTCGTCACATACCCCAAATTAAACCCATCCAGATCCGCCTCCCTCACCCACCGTTCCATTTCATCCGCTACCCTCTCCGGACTCCCCACCGCAACAGGGCCCAATCCCCCAATGGCCGCCTTCTCCGCCACGACCCGCGGCGTCCACCGCGGCACGTCCTCGCTCGTGGTGGTAAACGCATCCAACTGGCTCGTGACCTTATGCGCCTCTAATGAGTCCGCCGCCGTGATATCCTGATCAATGGGGATCCGACTAATATCAATCCCCGTCCACCCGCTGAACAGAACTAGTCCGCCAATCACAGACGCGTACTTCTTCACTTCTTCATACTTAGCGCGCGCTTCCTCGTCCGTCCGTCCGATAATCGGTGTGAACGTCGCGAAGAACTTGATCGACGATGGATCACGCCCTTGCTCGGCAGCTAGACGTCGGATGTTGGCGATCTTGGGCCGCAGGACGGTGGGCGAGTGGCTCGACACGAAGATCGCTTCGGCGTGTGTCGCCGCGAAGGAAGACCCCGCTGCTGAAGTGCCAGCTTGAAAGAGGAATGGGGTCCGTTGCGGGGACGGGTCCACGATGTGGCGCGTGTTCAGGGTGAAGTATTTCCCCTTGTGGTTGATCTGGCGCACCTTGTCGGGGTCGACGTAGCTGTCGTTCTCTGGGTCCGGGTTGAGGGCGTCGGGCGCCCAGGAGGATTCCCAGAGTCTGTTGCATGATTCATGTTAGTGGATAGGGGAAGGTATAGGGGTTGGGAGGTATGGGGGCGTACTTGTATAGCACGCGCAGGTACTCATCTGCTTGGCGGTATCGCTCGTCGTGCTCGATGGGCGTGTCAAGACCAATGGCCTTGAAGGCTGCTTTCTTCCACGAAGTCACGATGTTCCATCCGATGCGGCCGTTGGTGAGATGGTCTAGCGTGGAGAAGCGCTTCGCCAGGAGGAATGGTGGCTCGAAGGAGGTCGAGGCTGTGATTCCGAACGCGAGGTTCTTGGTCACGGCTGCCATGGCGGATATGGGCTGTTCCGTTTATCAGTATACATCCTGCCATGTAGTGGTAGGGGGACGTACGATTGTCGGATCAGTGACGGGCCATTGTGCTGCACGTCGGATGCATTCGTCTAGTTTGCCTTCGTACGTGTCGTATCCGCCGTATGTGTCGGCCAGGAACAGGGCGTTGATGCCTCCGCGCTCGAGGAGCTTGGCTAGATTGATCCAGTAGTCTAGCTTGCGCTTTGTGGCTGACTTGTCGGCTGGGTTCTGTATACTTCATGTCAGTATAGGAGCAGGATGTGAAGTTGAGTTTTTCACCTTCCATTGTCCTGGGGACAGATGGCCCACGGTGGACATGTCAAAGGCATTGAGCAGGATCTGCTTCTTGCCATCTTGGCCATTGTCTGTACTGATGTCGCCCATTGTATCTGCGGTTGTTGTATTGGGTTACTACATTCATTCGAACGTAGCAGTGATATAGTCTGGTGTGGTGTGAACCCCTCACCAATCCCGCCATCAGATGTTGCCATGGCGCAAGCGTGTTATCAGTGGGATGGACATGCAGGATACAAATTCGCCATTTTCCCCGCATCATGCGCGACAGGATCTTAGTATTTCTATGTGACACTGTGCTCCGGTGCCGGACGGTAGTGGATGCTAAGTCTACACCATATGCAGGTATATTGCGTGACAGCTAGATAAGATGGCTCACTCTATCCCGAACGTCTAATTGACTAATTCCATCCCCTCTATCTTCACTTGGCGTCTATCCCTTCCCCATCAGTATGCCTATACTCGGTCTTAGGCCGTGAAACCTGCACGACAGCAGATCCAGACTCTCGCTCGTCTCGAGAAGCCCCGGAGTCCTCATCACTAGCAGCTATCGCGCGATCCCTAGACACATTAGCATCACCCAAACCGCAACCATCGAAGCAGACATACTCTCTCTCGATAAAGTACCTCGTAACGTGCGCCGACACAATCAAGCAGATCGCACAAGCAAGCACAAACGAGTACCCCTTCGTGAACCTAGGCCCCTCGACCGTCGGGAACACCAACAGCGGCGTCCACGCCGTCGTAGACTGAGCAATCGTATTCAACACAATCAAAACAATCGCCCTCTCATCCGGCGAATGCCGTATCTCGCTATTAATCCACCCCATCAACACACTCGACATAGCCACCGACGAATACATCGTCGCGAACGCAAACCACAGCGCCGACTCCGGCACATCCCAGATAACCTGAATCACCAGCCCAATAATATTCCACACATGCGCCAGCGTAATCGCCCACGCCGGACCTAAGACCAAATCCGACGCGAAACACACCAACAGAGTGTAAAACATACCCAGCCCGGGCGCGATCGCAAACAACTCATTGACTTTACTAGTCGAGTACCGATTCAGACTCTTCAACCAGAGAAGATACCCACCCGTGGTGGTTTGCACGCACGCGTTCCAGAAGAAAATGTCCACACATAGCAGTGCCCAGGGCTTCCAGTTCCGTAGGACACGCGCACAGGTCTTCCACGAGACGCTTGATTCCTGGACCCCGTGTCCGGCTTTCTGTAGACGGGTTCGGACGAGTTGGATGTCCGATTTGCTGAGCACGATTCGGTTCGGTTTGTCGGGCGTCCCTGGGAGGACTATGAATCCTAGGATCCCGACGGGGATGGTGATCACCGCGCAGATGATGTACATCCAGCGCCATCCGGCGAGGCCGTTTACTCCGTCGAGTTGTGCGGATGCCCCCGCTTGGATGAAACTTGCTGTTAGCGTGCCTAGGGTTAGGCCGAGGTAGAAGAAGCCCCCGCGCCGGGCGATTTCGTGGCTTTGGTACCATGAGCCTGGAGGTGTTAGATGTCTCTTGGAGGGTGGTGTTGGTGGGTTGGACGTTACCGAAGATGTAGTGCATTCCGGGGAAGAAGGCAGCCTATGAAATGTCGGTTATTCTGTGTAAAGGAGGTAGGAGTTTTGGGTTGGATATACCTCGAACCATCCTACTAGAAATCGATATGCCATCATCTCTTCATACGATGTAGCGCGGTATTGCAGCAGAGTGAAGACCCCCCAGAGTATGTCCATCCCCGGGATCAGGTACGAGATGGGGTATTTGGTGAATAGGTAAGCAAATGGGAGTTGACCCAGGACAGCACCAACGGTGTAGATAGTTTGGAGGTTGACGAGATCATTTCCCTGTAGGTTGAGGGATTGCTCCATTCCAGAGACGTAGGCATTGTCTGGTGGCAGACATTAGTATCGATATCATTGTGACCATTGAAGTACCGATTTGTGGACTCACTAATATTTGCCTGATCGATATACTTCGTCCAGTAAGCGAGAAAAGCATAAGGAACAATGAGAAGGTCGAGTTTCAAGAGGAGACGTCGTTCCGACGGAGAGTCGTCTGGCGAAAACCATCGTATCCGGGGGAATCTCTTATTAGCGAACATTGTGATGTTTTTGTTTTGTGTATAGTTTACAGTTGTATAGAAGTTAACGAGTGATGAAGACCATTGATATACCTACATGCGTTGGCAGATGCTTGGAGACATCGATGTCACCATCGCATTGTTTGTATTACGTGACAACTGCCTATCTACTGCATCTTCCTGCAGCTGCATGTGTCGTGTAAATCTCCGGAAGGTGAGTCTATTCTTCCTGCCTATCTGTTTAATGTGACTGGATGACAGCAAGAAGCTTGAATTGTCTGTGCGGTGTCGGGGATCAGTACGGGTGGTGTCAATGGGGGGTAAGAAGGCGTGCTTCTTGGGTGAGTGGTTATAGCACTAGCGAGTGGAGCAGATAGGATGTTGATTGCTTGGTCGGGATGAGGTGATTTGTGAGGTACTAAGATGTCTAGTGATCAATGGTATCCAAAGAATTGAATATTTCTTTATGTGAAATATTGTATGTCCGTTATCTGATCATCTGCAGTGATATGAGCGCTTTGTCCTAAGATAGGCTTTGCTATATAATCCCTTGCGTTTCAAAGATGGCAAGAAGCTTCAATGCGTGCTGCTAGGTATACATTGAAACCAGTAGAGTCATATTAATCCAAAGGGCTTCGTTGAGCGAGTAATGTTCTCTGCCGGCCATGTCAGGTGTAATACCAATATTTATACATATACTTGTTCTCGGATACCAAGACTTTGAGGCAGAATGGCCGGCTTGGCTGCTACCACAATGCCGATACCGGGATGAGAACTAGCAGTACAGGGATCAACCGGCATTTATATGCAGTAACATATAGTAGCAGTTTCAGTAGCGAACTATATTTTGCAGATCCTGACCGTGGGGGCAAGCAAGGATCTGAGCATAAGAAACATAACATCATGACTGGCCGATTGTTTCTAGCACCATAGAAAAAAGAGTCGAATTATCTATGGAGAGAACGAGACCTGTGAGGAGTCAGACATTGACATGATCTACAGTGCAGTTTCCAGCACGAGATTAGATTCGACGCAAGGCTGGAATGTCAGCCCTGATAGCTGGACCCATTAACATGACTTCTTGTTGGCACATCGATTCAAGACAGTACCATGGCCAACAAGACCAATTTTCGGAGATAATTAGCTGCGAGCATGATGAAAAAAAGTGAGACTTGTCATATCAAAATCACCCTGTTTGGCATGTCGCGAAACCCTGGTTGTAAAAGAGTTGTGTATGTTTTCATCGACTATGATCCATGTAGTGCTCCATATCTTAGGAAAAGTGTCTACTCGGTTCATCAGCACAGCTTGAAATCTTCAAATACATGACATGAAAGACAGACTTAGTCTTATATGAGGCGGCCCACATTATGCATGCCAGCATCGTGCTGGATTTTGATGATTAAATGTACTGCGTCCTGATAAGCGAGTAGGCCCTAGGAGGAGCCTGGAATGTGGCGACCGCAGTTATCAGTGGCCCAAGTATGCATCACGCTCTGCTTTCTACATGCAGTGTAACAATACAAATCTGGTAGGCATGCAAAATAGGATGGTTTCTGTAGGGTGGCGAATGATCATTAGTAAACGCATGGCCAGGCTCTTAAGTGTATGTACTTGTAAAGAAGAGCGGTATCTGGCTGCTCCTATGGCATTCCTTTCCGTTTTCGGAAGTCTCGACACCTAAGTCCACACAGCAAGGGGGATGGTAAAGCTGATGGGTAATATGTATGAATCGTGAGCAGCGGAATAGCACGCTACTATCGTTTACAGTGATTCTATACGATCGTTCACATCGGGGAATGTAGTATAACTACTAGGTAAGGTCAAGGTCATACCGAGGACACTGATGGATTATATAAAAAATTCAATCAAGTAATACTGCGTTTCAGCCAGACTTCGTGAACAATATAGAGAGCTTAGAATAATGACATGTTTTATCGTCCCTACATTAAGCCAACCAACTCTGAACATTTGACAATCATATGAAGTATTTGAGAATGTCAAGAGGGTGTAGTTGCTAAGGTATACTTAAAGATCAATCCTTACTTACCATGGACCGTATTGTTTAGCTTCCGGTCGGGATTAACCTCGCTTGTAAGCATGTCTCCCAAACCATGAATTATTCCTCGTAAATATTGTGAGATAGTTCATTTGGAGAAGTAAATGAGATTTATCTTGGGGAATGGCTGTAGTAGTGGTCGTGAGAAGATTCACGAATGGTTCCAAGGGATGGTAATGGTGGGGCTGACAGGAGAGTATCAATGCTCAGCCCGGTCCAGGCTATTCCCCGCATATGCAAGATGTTATTATCCTTCCTGTTAAAATTGAAGCTCTATATAAGGCACATCATAATTATATATGCAACACTGTCCAAGTGATTTGATACGAACGCCTGACCCTGGGAAAGGGGAAGAAGGGAAGTCCGGGCGAAATCGGGATTGGCGGGGATGAATTCGGATGACGTCGAGGGCAGGTGGGGTAGCTTCACTGCTAAATGCTACTCCTCCCAGGTTACTGTGTGTCGGCCTCGCATCTCGGCTCTTTTCTTTCCCCAGCTTCATTTAATCCTGTTGTCGTCTCTTTCTCCCCCGTCTTCCTTCTTCTTCCTCTTCTCCACTTTCTCATCCATCCATCCCACACCCAACCTAATTTCATCCGTCTCATTCTCCCTGTGCGTCCGCCATCCGCCTGTGTCTCTAACATGTTCTCCAGACAGCTTCTGACTCTCCCTCTCAGAAGGTCCTTCCTGACCCCCGTCACACCTCTCTCCAGTCGTATCGTGCGCCCCCTTCACTGTTCCTCTACAGCCATGTCTGGTGTCAACAAGGCTTGTTGCTCGTGAGTAATGCCCTGTCAATGGCTTGTCTTTTATACTCACCGTCACCAGCATCCCCCCGATCGTGGCCCAGGGCTACCAGGGCAAGGGCGAATACAAGACCATCAATGGCTTGAAGACTTGTAGGTCAAACACAATTGATCAGAAAGGACCAACTAATTCTCTACCCAGACGTCACCGGCCCCGAATCCGCTACCAAGGCCATCCTCGTCATCTACGGTATGATAGACCCGTTCCCAACCTGCCTAAAGCCCATGCTAAGATTTGCAATGACTTTCAGACATCTTCGGTTTCTTCCCCCAGACCATCCAGGGTGCCGACATCCTGGCCACCGCGAGCGAGCAAAAGTACCGCGTCTTCATCCCCGACTTCTTCCAGGGCGAGCCGGCCGACATCACCTGGTTCCCTCCTCAGACCGACGACCACAAGCAGAAGCTGGGTAACTTCTTCCAAACCAAGGCTGCTCCTCCCGCAAACCTGCCTAAGATCCCCTCCATTGTCTCCGAGGCCAACAAGCTCGCTGCTGGCGGCAGCTTCCAGTCCTGGTCGATCCTGGGTTACTGCTGGGGAGGCAAGATCACGACCCTGGCGTCTGGTCAGGACAACAAGCTGTTCAAGGCGGCGGTGCAATGCCACCCAGCGATGCTCGACCCCAACGATGCCAAGAGTGTCAACATCCCCATGGCGGTGCTGGCCTCCAAGGACGAGAACCCCAAGGATGTCGAGGCATTCGGTGCCAACCTGCAGCAGGCCAACTATGTGGAGACCTTCTCCACCCAGATCCACGGATGGATGGCTGCTCGCTCCAACCTCGAGGATGAGCAGGTGCGCAAGGAGTACGAGCGGGGATACCGGACCGCGCTGGACTTCCTCCAGAAGCACGCCTAAACACTGACAGTCAACATGCCATAATGAATGGAATCTGAATAATGAATTTTGTGAAATCAAAAGTGTATATATGACTGTCAGCGAATGCCCAAGTACAGTTTCATACAGTTTCAGTATAATTGTGACTCGATCTACGTTCAGACTCAATTGTAAGATATAGACTTGATTGGAGTAGTGTTTGTGCCGGTCGGACCATCTTGCCCGACCGGGCCATGCCGGGAGCCGGATGGCCGACGTCATCGCTAGAGCTCCATTACCAAGCTCATTCGCCTTCTTTTTGTTCTTCGACCTCCCTCGAACCGTCCGGATGCAGCCATCCCCTATCACCTTACCAGTGGACTGATCAGCACTAGCTAGACTGGATCGCTTTTTATTTGGGCTTCGTCCCCCACATCAATTGTTCATCCCCTTATAACTATTTATTGCTCTCGTTCGGGAGACCGCAATGAGTGCGGATACCATTCGAGTGTGGCAGCATATCTGCTCTGACTGATATCGCCCACACATCGTTCCTGTCCTCTTGTCTTTACACAGCATTAAAAGACCTCCTACCCGTTTGTCTCCGACAATCCCAGAATGTCCTTTTTCTTTGGACGTCGTCATTCCATCTCATCCGCCACTCTGGGTCAGGGCGACAACCTGCCCAGGAACGAGAGGGGCAGGAGAGCTTCGTTACCCAATGTGTCCGATACCAACAGTACCGGATCCCACGCCAAAGGTGTGATCCATGATATCTTTCACAAGCATCGAGGAGACTCGGATTCGGGATCCTCGTCCGGGACAAAGACGTCTAAATCGGTAAGGATACCAGCGCGGTCTGGGAGCTTTGCCAAGGGGAGCCTGACCATCTCTAGGAGGCTGACATAGCCCGATCCAATCTCACAAAGCCGGATACAGACTCTCACGACGAACATCATGCTTCTCATCACCATTCGGATCAGGCTGCTAAAGCCCATCCATCACATCATCACGAGGGTCCTTCACACAACCAGCTGACAAAAAAGGACATCGAGACAATCTTCTCCGGGGCTCCATACTTTCTGCTGGAGAAGGGAAAGCATGGACTCTTCTACCCACAGATTATATTCCCTTTCGATGACCACGATCCCACCATTCAAAATCTCTGGGATAGACGGCCCCTTCCCCACGCCTCCTATACACTCTGCACTCTCCATGCTCATTTGCCTGTACCGGATGACTGGGTAATTGAAGGGGAAATGCCGGTTCATTTGGGGCACTGGAAACGATCGGAAGCTCCGAAGCGGGCGACTTTTGATGTCGGCGTTCACGAAGTACCCAATATGCTGTCAGTCAATGGCAAAGACGCTGGTACAATCGGCTTTCGTCACTTTCTTGAGCTACCCGTCGCCGATTCTGTCGTATACGCGGGCCCCGAGAAACCACGACCATGCTCTGACCTTCTTCATATCTCAACTCTACCAGCAACCGAGGCGTTTGAATTGATGGGGCACTATAGTGACCCATATGCCCAGTGCTCGGATGGTACCGTTCATGACCGGAAGAAGTTGCTGTGCGAAGGACCGGTTGCATGGAAGAGGATCGGCGTTCGCGATATCGACTTGCGAGCCCTAGTGGAACGTCTCCAGACGCTCAAGACACTCCGCTACGACATTTTGCACGGGGATACGCCAAAGACGATTCTAGATATGGAATGCACTCGAGAGCTGTATAGTGGACTGTTCAACCGATTTCTGTACCCACCGGCGCGGTTTCTGTTTGCGGATGTCGGCGATTCCCATAGTTTGAAGGCTCAGATCAAAGCTTTGACAGTGGTATTGGCTACCCCTGGGGCGTGGTATGATTTCAGTCTGATCGATTGGCGATTGCACATTGGGCAAGTGTTGTTTGAGAATCCCCCACATAACGACGGCGACTTCCTTGATCCGGACAAATCTGACAAACCCTGGGTGCACTTCACGCTGGAACGCAAGTGGTTTCTCGTCCAGATGCTGCTCGCCGCGGAGCTACTGATGCGTTTGGATGCCACTGTTCGAGTAGGAATGCTGCAGAATGCGCGGGATATCGATGTCTCGGTGCATGATGTGTACGAGTTTGACCGGCTACGGAGTGGTAAGCTGAATTGGGATTTGGTTACAGTTCGTCGTTTTCTGGACAGCTTCCATTTCACCTACAACCCTGTGGAGCCGGACCACCCTTCTCCGACCATACATGCTCCGGGTAAGTCGCCTGAGCGGCATCACCATCGTGGGTTCCTCGAAGCTTTCACACATCACTCTACATTATCCGCCCATAATGATGAATCCGCCTGGCGGTGTCATCTGGCCCCCAGCCACGTTGACCAGCAACTAAAAGGGCTGTTTGTATTTGCAGACAATATCGGCTGGCCAGGACTGGATGAATTCAAGAGCGCACTGCGGTCCAAGCTTGAGGGTGAGGGGGTGGAAAAGAAAATCGAAGCCGCCTACACCATACCTCTCACCAACTCGCTACCTGCAGAGTATTCCACACTGGACTTGACAAAAGAGATGTATAGCAGATCTCCATCGCGCCGCCTGCTTCTCCTTCATTCCCCGCACAGCATACGTCCCTTGAACATTGGTGGTTGGATTACGCGTAGCTGGCTCGCGGGGTTGGTAATCCCTGGCGAGTCCATCAGCCACCTTCTCATGGCAACCATCCTAGAAAATGACGAAGAGGCGATGGCTACACTTGGACCAGTCGCCAACGTTTACGGTGGTTTCACGTACAAGGGGAAGACCTGGTGGAGTAAGAAGTGCATTGTTGGGCGAGTTCTAGCCAGCCAGCCGGGTACAAAGGTTTGTCTGGCCTGGCTGGCAAGCTGCATAGTGCCCAAGAACTCTGAAAACGGTGAGCACTTTGTCAACACGTGGTATGAGGTAGATGTCCGCGAGCCGCCCCGACGTCCAGGCAAGCCACGCATCAAACACGGAAACCGGCTTTCCTTTGACTCTACGCCTCTGGGTTTGGGAGAGCTTACGAGTGGAGTATTCTTGCTGCCTGTCGATGGCCCCTGCGATAGCTGGTCGAAAGCAAACATCGACTTTCAGGACCTCACCTTCTCCGTTGATACGAAACGAACAAGCCATAACCTGACCGTGGTCCAAAAGGCCTATGCCAATTTTCTTCTCGCTTCCACTGCTACTGGACCCACCCCGGTGTCGTTCGAGTTGGCCTACAACGTACGATTCATTTCTTCCCACGAGTGCCGTCCACCCGGGGGGTCGGTCAACTATCAAAATCCCCCAAGCACAGCGGATGGCGGGTTGTCATCCTCGTCATCAAGCCATGTCTCTCATAGACATCATCGTTTGCCGGGCCACCCGTTGCACCGATCGTACACGTTCAAGTGGGTGCCTCTAGAATCCTTAGCGGAGACATCTCACTCGGATGGCCACAGCAGCGGACTAGGTAAGGAAGAGATCCTCCTTCTCGACGCGCGGGGCTCTCACGACAAGGAAACATTTGCACGAGCATGGTGTGCGTCTGTTGGACATCATGCCGTCATTGGCAAGGTCGGACGGACCTGTCTGGCGTGTTGCATCCGCGAAGCCCGAGCGTTGCAGGTGAAAGTGGTGATTCGCATTGGAGATGGGATGTCGACGCCCTCGTCGTCGATCCAGGTGTTATATGGTGGAGAGTAGGATAGTTTGATTGGTTGCCGCTTAGAAGGGTCTGGTTCCGGTTGCACGCAGTGATGCCTGCCATTTTACCGTGTCGTTTGTATGTAGTAGTATCTTTCAAAAATACTCTGATCTAGACATGGCCTATTTGTAGGTAGCTGCCTGGTAATTTGGGGGTTAGCTGCGTAGTGTTACGGCACACGGGATGCTGCCCTCCAGACCGGGGCGGTTTGCCCCGAGAAAGGCAAATACCCGTTTGGTGTCACCCACACCATCTTCCTCACTTCCTCAGCTCACTTGCCCGTTGCTCTTTCGATCTTTTCATCACCCGTGGGAAATCATGGCGGGTGTTCTTCCTTCGCGCCATAAATACCTCAAGGCCTTTCAAAGCAGAAGCATCCTTCAACTCTTCTCATCGCCTTCACTTCATTCTATATAGTACTTGCTTTTCTTATATATTATTTCCCCATTCTGTATACTATACCATGCTGCTATATACAGCCCATCAAGTCGACATCTTTCCCAGATTATATTCCCTCTCTGAGCTGTATTTCCCAACTTTCCCTCGTGAAGGACATTTCGTCTTGATGGGGATGAGATCCCCGGTGGATTAATATCGACAGTGATACGGTGCTCATTGAGCACACGATATAAAGAATGATCCCAATTTTCCTGGGACTTTTCACCTGGGGGTAGTCGACTCGACTATCCTCAGAAGCTGCTGTTTTCAAGCTTGTACGGAAAACTCCATGGTTCAGGAGGACAGGATTGCGATGACTTTGTCGAGGGTGTTTCTTGCTAGAACTATTCAGGATGGTTTGGATTGGGACAGTGCGCTACAAGCTGTTGTTGCTGCCAAGGATGCAGTTGAGTTCTGTTTGGAGAAGCATGGGTATCTGAAGAAATGGCCGGAGGTCATGAGGACCTGATGGGACATTCACGATGAAAACGAGTCTTTTAAATGTCTTGTGGTTGATGATGTGCATATCTCAAATCACTTTGGAGGTAGATTGTCGACTATCTAGTATACTCTGCGCTTGGGATACGAGAACCCACCCACGACTCTTGATACGGCCGGTGCAGCGATCAAAGTGGAAATCACAACATTCAATCACAACCGATTTGCGAAGATGTACTGGACAAGACCACACACATGTGGAAACGGCATAACCTGAAACATATCGTGTTCTGTATGTCTCTGCTCTGTCAAGTCTGTTTCACCCGTTCTTCCTCCCTTTCCTTGTGGCTGAGCTGTGTCTGGGTGTTTGAGCACGATCGCTATACCATGTCAGACAGTTTCTCGTCTTCACAGCTAATGTTTCAAAAACTCTAGATGACCTACCTCAACACGATTTTTCGATATTCCTGTGAAAAAGCTCCGCCATTTTTCCTCACTGGCGGCTTCCAGCGACCCTTGGCCTTCCCAATCGTGTCGGGTTATACTCGTTCATTCGACTCACAAACGTGCTCAGCATCTTGGTCTATGGGGATTCGAAATCCGCACAGAATCTGGGCGATGGCCAAATCGTGGAATATCAATAAATGGAGAGAATAACCACAAGGTATGCAATCTGAGTCTGATCAAATTTTGCTTAGAGCTAATCATACCTGGCTTTCACAGGCTCTGAAAAGACCATGACCCTCGGCCTAACGCTCGAAGACGTCAGCACAGCTGCTTTGCACGACGAAGGCTAATGGCCTGACTGGTCTTCTCTCGGTATATAATTCACGGGGAGGATTAGCGAACATCCTTGGAGCTGGAATTTTCTAAGAAAACTCTCTTCCCCCAGCCACACTTGGGTTGCGTCTTGTCCGATCCATATGTTGGCCTCACAAGCCCTGATGCTGTGGTATAAGGGCAAAGCTAGCAGCTATAAGGAGATGGCTGTAGCGCTAGGATGTATGCTGCATGCTGATTCGCATCCTCATCGGCAACATGTGGTTGTGTATAGCCACAACTGCCACTGGACAGGCTTTCCAAAACAACAGTCTTTCTCAGTTCCTGCCTGAAACTTTCCATATTTCTTGCACTCCACAGTCGTCATTACCACTGCTTCGAGAGCTGTATTGACCCAGTCACCATACAACAAACGAGGAATACGAGCAGCAGCTTCCCAATGCGCCCAGCAAGAAGTTCGGGTCATCTGGATTGGGCGATACAACTCTACGAACATTTATCTCACCATTAGACCGAGTGAGCGACCTCCGGCACCGCCAGTGGAAGGAAATTCAATGGTGGTGCCCCCACCCGTTGATCACGTACCTTTCTTGCTACCTGGGCGGTTTTATGTCACTTGGTAGTCTAAAGAAGGTTATGAGTGAATGTTGACACCAATTTCCGTGGCCTCAGAAACAAACTGACAGCTCTCCTGCGCAGCTGCTACCCCTTCTACTGCCCCAAACGTCCAGGAGGTCTATACCGCAGCTATTTAGCCTACACACATTCTTCGATAAGAAAATCGCACTTCACATTCGGTATCGTGTTGCTCGCTTCTTCGAACAGAGGATCCAAGCAATCGAATTCCGGTGTCTTGAAGCAACGCTTACGACAAGTACTCAAGCGCAATCAGACAACTCCGGGGTTTATTTATCAGTGTAGGTCCTTGCATCTTGCCAGTCATGTGGATTGTTATGTCTCGACTAACATTCCAACAAGTCTTGTTCCAGATACTTTGTCAACCGCCATCCCAACTAGGTGTCATTCACAGTTTCTCTGGTATAGTTCCCTCGAGCATGAACGGAACGACCATTGCTGGATCGAATTACAATGGTGGAAGATGACGGGTTTACATGCTTCAGGTGTTACATTACGCCCCTCATTGGTCTCCTGCTAAGTAGTCCAGATGGTGCATGATCGTGACCGCTCGGATAGGGTTGCGCAAAGAGCGTTTCGTTTGCTGCCACCGCACTCTTTGGTCAAGAGGCTACAGCCTGGACACCGGCGGAAAATACATGTCGTATCGGACACACGGGGATAGTACGTCAGGTCTCGAGCCGTCGAGAAGGGTTTACCATAGGAGGATCAAGCAAAATTATTGTTGGAGGTAGCGGCAGAGAGCGACTCATCAATGAGTACAGCCAACAGTGATGGCTGCGTGTGTGAGAGCACGACTGGAGAAGATGAAGTCAGCTTGTGCTTGGTCTAGTCAGGATACGATCAATGCAGACAATGCTTCGTCAGAAAACATCCATCAATTCCTATTTCACATCCCCATGCTTCTAGTGTACTTCATCGAATGCTCTCAAAGCTGCGAACTGGTCTTTCGAATGCCACACTGCTGCTAATGTCTGCTGGGATGTTTCATGGTGATTTCACCCCGATCAGCACTCTCGTCGGCAGTTTCGGTGGTCAAGGTTCTTGGTTCGATATCAATTAAACTAGATCTCGAGGTCTGCAATGTCCTTAGTTCTCGAGTCTTTGTTCAAGTTCTCTCCTGTTGTCGAAGGTCTATGACTGCCTGCATGGTTGTACTGGTGAAGTGTGGTGCTTAAAAAAATGGAATTGCCCTCATCCATCTAGTGCTACCATGCCTTTGGGCTTAGCATGAAATCCAGAAGACCAGTGGAACAACACCGTATCAGACGCTTTACGGAGACGCCGAATACGACGCCTCCACTCCATCGGCTTGACCTTGTCGATTCCCGTATCAGAAGAAAGCCTCCAATAAACTTGTCTACAAGATTATACAAGGCATGTAGAACCCCAACAAGCTTTTCCTAGCCGGTTGAGAATATGTGTGACTGACCATTCGTGTTGACCGTAAAGCAACCCCTGGACATTAGGCGGTGCGTGTTGTCCACTCGTGCTATCAGTGCCCTGTCGTGACCGATTTCTGACCATGTATTGTCTCATGAGAAATACAATCACGGCACATTGCAAGAACAAACAAGCATGCTAATATGCGTCCCAAACCCCGAGATTATCGATACTCAGATATCATCACACGTATCCAAAGTGTCTGGTCCAACAACGCACAGCTGCAACAGTGGCTGCGGCCATCGCAGTGACCGACGTACTCGTCAATACTAATCAAAAGAGATTCAGCATGATCTTTGAATCGCCAACTCGATGGTCAGAATCCTTGGAAAGTTGGCTAGTCAGAAGTAGCCACGCGGATGCGCAGTTCGCCATGTCTTTCTAACGGCCCTTGCTAGAGATCAGGACGAAAGATGTGTCACTATGCTGTCATCACAGCTCCAGGGAACTGTTACTGGAGCAGTACTGGTTGCAAACTAAGTCTGAAATACCACTGCGTCATCGAACACTACCTACCTAGCTCCCAACTTAAGTTTCTCTATCTTTCTCACATATCATTCCCCCCAGCCAGTACCCATCGTATGGAACTGCATGGATCGATTGCCTGTTCCCATGCTCACTATTCCATTCTAAGTACCCGAGGAACTCCCTGAGCATCATTAATGATTCCTTTCTCCTCCTTCCAATATATTCAGTGAGTGAGCCCATTTATAAATCCACTATGAAATGTGCAATTTCTACAACATCGCCATCCAAACCAAGCCATCTTCTCAAGAAAAAAAAAAAAAAGAATGGTCATTCCGATGCCTCTGGGAAAGCATTTAACTAACAAAAAGCCACGGCAGAGCTGATCCTCCAGAATGCAAACAAAACAACAGTATGGCACCAACCTCACCGTCTTCCTTTTCCACATCCGGGTAATGGGCTCACGACTCAGCGATCGTATTTCTCAGCATCTTGGTTTTTCCAATATACGCTCTGTCTTCGAGACGAATGCTGCGTCAAATGGCTACTGCGCTAGCATAGCCTCAAAGAGGGACTTACGTGGAGCTTGCACAGAAAGGAGGGAGGGAGGGAGTAGTTGGAGATATTTGTTCCTTCCCCATATGCAGGACACCTTATTCTCTCTCTCTCTCTCTTTGATACATCATCCAGCTACTGCATTATCTGGGATAAGGTGTGCTTTCGAATGAGAATTTTAATTTCCATCAAAACTCAAATGAGGAGAGAGCAGAAAAGTCATGGTCATGCTAAATGGCATGAAGGGAAGGAAGTCCTTCAAGATTATCATCGGATTGTATGATCTCTTCTTTTTTCCTCTCTAATTGACACATATTCCACATGTTGGGTTGGGATGGGTTTTTCTCTCTTTTTTTTTTTTTTTTTTTTTTTTCAAAGAAGAGAAAGGATATGTACGAATGCTAACATAATTCAAATTCACTTCATTTGGATTTGAAGACAATTGAAGAATGTACTGGGAGTAAGTAGTTAGTAGTAGCTATTCAATTTTTAAATTGAGAGGTTGGTAATTGTATATATATTTTCTCAGTAACGGTGCCGTATCGACCAAGTGCTTTGTGGGCTATATAACTTCAGAGGAACATCGAACCCCCAGTAATGTCGTACGGAAGATTAGAATTCAGATAGGTTTGATATTTATTGTTCATACTACTATACTACAGTATATTCTGGGTAATGAATTTCGGAGCGGACCCGCGAGCATTTCCCACTAAACTGTCCGCACTCTCTCGAAGGAGCGGGATCCATGTCCTTTACTCCCTTTATAGCAGTCGCTAATTATAGCTTGGCTTGCCTCGCATTGCTGCAAGTTATGTTGGCTGGATACTGAATCCCAACGTCTAGGAGGATTTTGATTCGACCTGCATTGACTTGATGCAGTAGGTTGTGGCGAAGCGTTTTGGTACCCCTGAAGACACGGTAAGTCTAGATTCTGATTTGAGCAGCGCTGGTGTCTATGTCGAGAGGTAGGCACCAAGATAGTTTTGTCTCTGGAGAAGATTACACTGTGCCTGATGCTGAAACGGATGTTACTTGGTCGCATTATTTCTCATCGCGATTGGAGATGATGAAACTTGAAAGACCTTCCCCGTTGTACTATGCTCTATGGTATATCCCAGTTGAAGCAGAAAACATCATACAGTGCAGAGAGAGAGATAGTTTTCGACACGGAGCATGCTGTCATAGTGTCTGTAGGGATATCGAGAAGAGAAAGTCGTCTGTCTGTCTGTATAGCCATCAGCCCTCAAGAGACCAAATATTTAGCGTGAGTAGACCAGCAAGCGACCCAAGCTGCAGTGTTCAACCCATCCATACTCCCTGCCACTAGCGTTGCCTCTCCTTGGTGGTTGTATGTTCCAAAACACCCAACGGACGACTGTAATAAACTCAGCAACAGACAAATTGCCAAATTGTGATGAATTCCTTACTCATGCCCGCATTATACCTTCGAGACTGCTAGTCCATCTCGCACTTTATGTCAGAACTTGCGCCTGCTGCGTCTCGTGGCATCTTGTGTGGTAAGCCCGTGGAGCCGGACACCTTTCCGTATCTTTCCAACTTCGATAATCTGAGACATCTATCCGTTAGTCATTTCTTCAACGTAGATGCTCATTATCTGGAGACGGTTATCAGTATAATCGTGCTCTTACCGTGGTTATCGACGTAAGCCAAGCGTTCCCCCAGATCATGGCAGAGCCACTGGGTTTATCAACCTCATTGTTTTGAGTCACTGCACGAGGCAGTCCGCATCCACAGCCCATGCTTTAGACTAAGCGGCAATCCTCCGTCGAAGTAGCTAACTGTTGTGTATAAGCATGATGTACGGAGTGACGAAAATGGAGATCGGCTAAGATCAGAAACCAAGCTTAGACACTCCAGTAGACCGCTTCTAGAGCTATTCCTCAGAACTGGAATAGAAACATGGCGTCACTGAAGAAAGAAAAGAGCCTGGCCTCAGTGTCATTCTGCGCCATCTCCACTCATGGTCCAGTATACCCGATTCGAGCAACAGCCAGTCGTCATGCCGCGGAGGAAAGCTAAACAAACCAGAAGAAGAATATTCAGTAAGAATAACAGACGAGAAAGCCAAGCACTGGAATTATAAACTAACCGGATCTTTGAATGCCCGTTGAGACAGGTCAAGGGATCCACGACGAGCAGATACCTCGGTGTGGTCATGGCTCAATCACGCAGCTGCTGGGTCTCTGCTGTAGCTTTTGAGAGTAGTTTCACATCTTGCTAAAGAAGACGGTTTAGTTCGGTGCTTCTATCTTGTTCATGTGTCATTTTGAAAGAGGAGCAAAAGCTGGATCTGTGCGTTTCTGAGAATGACGGCTAGAAAATTTCTCTGCGGTTTAGTAAATCCCCAGGTTCCTGGATCACAGTAGTGATGAGTACAATGCCAAGATGGCACAACAGAGCAGTCACATCCTCTAGTCCACAGTATGTAGATAGATAGATAGATAGATAGATTGAAATCTTCAAAGGAATGGGATCGTGGTTCTTCAGACGCGAGTGATGATCGTCTCTGAAGGAAAGTTGCGGTCAACGCCGACTACCCGGATTGGTGCTAGCCGATATCTACTATTACTATGTACTACTAGTACTGTATCTATGGAGGGGGGGGGATACTTACCTACCTGGATCCGGCAGCGTTCAACTTCACAGAGCATGACCGAGAAGTAAGAGTACATGATTGAGAGAGACTACTAAAGAGACATAAGAGTACATATGACAGAAGTCCCGAAAGTACATAGTCTCTGCACATCGGCACTAAAAGGACAACAGATACTGCAAGTGGAATGGATGGTTTGTCTCAGGCAACAGCAGGAAAGACAGCAATCAATTCGCTACCCCCCCCCCCCACTAGCAGGCTACACTATTCATCTACACCGTTTGCATCGCCCCCGTGGCCATAACTCATCTCCAAGGCTGTATACGGATTCGGTGGGTCATATGAGAGAGTCAAAGGTGGTACGGTTACCCATCTCGAGTGGTGGTCTGTTAGGCAGCGGAGAGAGACAAGGGATGTAGGGGAGGGAGAGGGGGGGTTTGCAAATGACGCTATAAAGGTGATACAAACATATATGTGCTGCTGGTCTATCAATGCTGCCAAACCCACCATGGAACCCCAATTCTGGCTAGGATCTCGTGTTTGCAATGCCGGTATGACACCGACCGGAAAGCCAATCGCGACCGCAGCATTCTTCATTCTTTATCCAGAAATTCACCGGGGTACGTGAGGGTGCCATGATATACGAGCACGCCAGATGCCAAGCACCAGACACCATTTTTATTTTTCTTTTCTAGTTGCAAACAAGATTTTGCGGCTTTTCCAATCGGCGCGATGCGTCAAGACACACTAAACCCAAACTCCCTCCCTCACCCCCCCCCCCCTTCTTCCCCCTCCCCATCTCCCTCTCCCCAAAGAGCATCTATACCAGAAGAGTGTACTCCGTGCCCGACACACGCCTTACCATGAGTGGAAAGTAAGCAAGCAAGCAACCAGGCTAACCTTTAGCCCGGCAACTCCCAGGGTTAGAACAAGACCGGCTTGTTTCATCCTCGCGGGCACTTGTCTCGAAAGGGTTATGCTCGACTGGAGGGTCGGCCCTGCGACTGGATTGCTGAGCGTGTAAACTGGGGTCCTTACGTGTCCGTTGCTGAGCTTTACCGATGAATAAAGAGTGGGCGGGTATAACTTCGATTAATGCATTTGATGATGGGAACAGGAGACGGTGTATCGCTTCTCCCTTCGTAGTACTACCGTGAGAAAGAAAAAAAAAAAAGGAAAAAAAAAAAAGGTCTGTGCTAAAAAGCAAACATGACCGACGCCCCTATTTTTCGTTTCTTTTTCTCTCTTAGGTTGAATTTTTGCTTTTTCAATAACCGTTACGGACAGTCGATAAGGGTGCGTCGCATGGTCCGCCAACCGTAGGGCGCCGAAATTGTTTCATAGATAGGCAAACCTATCTAGGCACCCTTTTGGGTACCACTGCCAGACAGGGATGCTTTTGAACTTTTGACAATCCATTTTTTTATTTTGTTATCTTATATGTCACAATCGATAGATCTCGTTCTTCCGAGGAAATAAAGAACCAAACAAGGGAAAAGCAAAAAGAAAAAAAAAGTAAAATAAAACGGGGGGAAAACAACAAACGACCCACGAACGTCAAGGATCTCCGGCCCGGCAGAGACCCTTGAGATCGAACAAACAGAAAACCGAAGAAGCTCGGGGCTCGGAAATCCGCTCAGGGTCTGTTTCGGATGGATAGATCATACGGAAGATCAATGGAAACAGCAAGCTGGGATCGTGATAGCGCACGTCGTATCATCATATGTCGAGTATAGTAGTAGAGTAGACTATCTAGTTAGTATCTAGTTAGTAGTTAGGTACTTGTTGGTCTGTTAATAGATTAGGACATAATTACTGCATCGAGTGAGAACTCCGCCGATTCACTCCATCAGCCATGGGTGGTGAAAAGGCAGGCGCCATTGTGATTGGCTCCGATTCAGTCCAAGAGGACAGATGGCGTGGCCCTGCTGTGGGTTAGAGTCCAGTCGGACCGTAGATTCCTACCTACTTTGTACGACTCCCACCAACAGGAGGAGGTAATCTGTCGGAGGGGAGCGAGCAACACATGCCAGACTGACAGGCTGAAAGCAGGGAAGAATCATCATTACTATGTTAGTTTCTCTCTTGTTATTGCCGCGCACTTATCATCATCGTCATCATCGTCATCAGCAGCAGCAGCAGCAGCAGCAGCAGCAGCATTGACTGGGTTAGACCAATGGTCGCTCATTCATTAGTTAGGGATTAAGTTTCACCCCTCGGAGAATTTTGACGCATGGCTTCTCGTGGAGTGGACCACCAGCGGTGCAGCGAAACACTGGGTTAGTGTTCATTTTAGTCCCTGCAGAAGCCGGGGGGTGGTGGATGGGGGGAATGTGGGTGGGAAGAGAGGCGTGCGTATGTGGCCGTTAATCAGGAGGTAGTCTAGTCTATTGTAGTGTAGTAGTAGACCATAGCCAAGGCCATTGTTCTTAAGTCGGAACTGGGCAACCGCCCGTTTCCCACCTATTGAAAGGCAGTGCTCCGTCCGGCGGACCGCGATGATCAGATAATGATTTGTATGATAGGGCAGAGCGTTGATGGATGAGGCGAACTTGTTTCAAGTCCGATACGAGACAATAAATGCCACTAAAACAGCGCTAGGGCGAGGTGCGACTGCGGTGTTCAGGGAGAAAAGTGGAAGTTGCCAACGATCTTCGTCTCTTCGCTTACGTATATCGGCTGCCCGATCCCGCTAGCGACGCAGAGGCTGACCAAAGTAGCAATATCCACGCGTTTGAGTCCCAGGTACCTTACTATCCGAATCTCCCTAACCACTGACTATCTTGCTGAATTCAGTTAATGTACCAAGGATCATTGTAGATTGCATAACATGTTAATATCTGCCATTATACCTTCTCCAGCAAGCAGCTAGTATCAGTGGTAAAAAAAAAAAAAAAAAAAAAAAAAAAAAGGAAAGAGGAAGAACCGGCGTCAGTAACTGCTTCCCATAAGTCTCCCATCTGTGAAATTACGAACCAGAAAAGGACAGCGTGCCATTGTCTGTCAGTCAATGGATTGAAGGGTCCAGCGGATACACCAAGTTCCTTTTGGAGTTACGCAGGTACGTAATGGCCCAGAAAGTGCACACGGTAAGTGGAGGAAACCGTCCGAGTTGTGTCTATGATTTTATCCTGGGAAGGGAAAGGAACTAAGTTCGGAGCCGAATTTATCCATCGACGGCTAACGAGAGCGCTACTAATAATAAATTGGAGGCCCGAGAGGACCCTGAAAGGCCAAGCAATCTGCTTGGGTTTGGCATGGGTGCTATAATGCTGGCTAAGTGCGTAGTTTACATGCATGTCACCATTCCATACTTTGATTGTATATATATATATTAAATAGTTCTATGTAAATATTAATTAATTAATTTAAACAATAGATAAACAAAAGTCGCGCTTCCCTCATGTTCCCTAAGAGAAGGAAAATCTTTCAAGCCCATTACTTTAGACTAAACACATATGCCTGATCCAGGTAGAGTGAGTGTCCCCATCCAAGTCGAACTGGACAAGTGGACTTTTCGCTTAGACTAGTAAAAGCACTCATGCCATCATCAATCAGCAGCAACAGCAGCAGCAGCAGCAGTGGCAGTGGCAGTGATTTCTTGTCATCATACGATTCTGGTAGTAACTCCGAATGCGACCTTGACAATTCCCATTGGAGTCTTTCTACTACTGCGATCGACTGCAAACGCAATCCCTTACTGAGCAAAACCACTACACTCGGCCAGGCCAAGCCCACTGGCTACACTAGGATTGCAGATGTGATCCTTAAATCAAACCTTGGCTTGGAAGAGGCCCACCTGATTTCTGACAGATCCAGTCTCGCTCTCTCTGCCTCTTATGGCGGAGTATATTTCCAGGGTACATGCAGGTACGAAGTCAGCATGGACGTGGATGTGGGCTGGGCTGTACACAGCAAGGTGTAGGTGTGGATGGGCTGAGAGATAGCCGCTATGACCGACTGGCTGACTGACGCGGGCGCGCCGCTGCTCTTTTCTACTAGAATTGTCTGGTTGCGTGTCCGTAGCAGTAGGAACCATTCCAGAGTTAGGCGAGAAACTGAGCATTTGCTGAATATCACCTAGTCCAGTGGAATCCAGTTCGAGCGAAATCAGAGGGTGAGAGAGGGGGGAAGTAAAGAGAGAAAAAAAAAGAAGAAAAAAAAACCTTTATTTATCAAAACGAAATAAAAAAAAAAAAAATAATCGAAAGAGAAACCAAAAAATAAAAGATAAAAAAATTTAAATGAAGCCCCATGTCCATCCTCATTAACTCATCTGTGGAAACACCAGTGGGATTGCTGGAATGTGCAAGTCAGGATGACGATGATTAGGCCCCTGCCCCATGCCCTGCGGCGGCTCACCAATCAACAGCGTGACCGCTTGGCGAGGATGACGACTCCAGGGCTTCTCGAAGCTCAGCAAACTTCGAGTCTCTGTTTCACCTCTCCACTAGTCTGCTTTGGGTGAACTCGCGACCGGACGAATTCCTTCGTCTTCGCCCAGAGGGGAAAGTCCCTCGCGCTGGGGCGCCGCTGGTTGGCTGCAGTCTCCGGCCAGACCCATGCGGCCGCCCAATCGATCGCGGCCGTCACCCTGGCCCCAACGAGGAGTTAAATTTAAAACCACGCTCTTCAGATGCTGAGTGGATGAGAGCCGGGATCCAGATTCCCCAGTTCTTCAATTGATTGACAGGTCTCAGCTATCAGCGTGTTTCTTTCCCCCTCTCTCACACTCCCCTCTGCTAAGCCCAATGAGGGAGGGAAGAACGCATACCTCCATGGGAACCCCACCCCCCACTCCTCCTACTACTTTGTACGTGAAGTTGAAGTGAAGTAGACTAGACGAGTCTAGTTCTAGTCTTGTCTTGGGCGTAGTCTGGTTACAGGCGTCTGTCACAGACCTCTGGGACCACGGACGACGAGGGTGGGAGAAGTTGGGAGGAACCAGCCGGGGCGGTGCGAGGGATCAGGGGTATCTTTTTCCTCTGCCCGCACCGACCGACCGACGCACGCCTATCTGAGAGGCAAAGTAATGGATGGAGTACCTACTTACTATGGAGTACTAGGTAGGTCCCCATGCACGATGCACACGCATGCTCCGGATGGTATGATACTGATTGGGGGTATTTTCTATTGCCGGCTTGTTGACAACCTCCAACCCAAGGTACTTCGTTTCCCCTCTCAAAGGTACCAACCGTCTGTTCTGGTCCTTTGGGATAAAGGGCTGCAACTTGCATCTCCATCAGTCCAAAGGAAAAAAAATATTATCACCAATCCCACTTTCATTGCCAGGAACTGGATGGATACAGTCCAGCCCAGCCCTTTCCCATGGTCTCCGTCCTCCTTTCCTCTTTTCCTCTTCTGGCTCGCCTCGACTCGACTCGACAACCTTAAGATCCCACACAGCCACATTCCATGTGACGGCAATGATCCCTGCTAATATTCTCGAATGCCGCCATCACCCTTTTCAGACACTCGTCAATCTCTGCCTGCCTTGGTAGGTTTGATGAGATGTTTCAATTGGACAGTCATTCATCTTGTCCCTGCGCCTGAAGACCTTCAGGCTGTCTGGACTGCTGTCTGGGACTGCCTCCCAACCAACTCCCAACGACTAATCGTAGTAGTATGGAGGGATCTCACATAACATCGGGCAAAAATCAGTATTCAGCTAGGCAGGTACCTCGAAGTTACCAACGAGTAGCTGAAGTAAATTGTTGGACTAGTGGTCATGTCCGCCAGTCGGGCAGTCCGACGCAAAGCCTACTA